CTCCCCTGTGTTTTTAAAATCTTGCCCTGGGGCGCCTGGGTGGCTCAGTGGGTTAAGCGTCTGCCTTCAGCTCATTCAGCTCAGGTCACGATCTCTGGGTCCTGGCATCAAGCCCTGCATCCCACTGGGCTCCCTGCTCAGGGGGGAGTCTGCTTCTCCCTCTCCCTCTGCTGCTCCCCCTGCTCATGCTCTCTCTCAAATAAATAAGATAAAATCTTTAAAAAAGTTTCAAGAAAATCTTGCCCTAGCCAGAGGTCAGAGTACTTCTTCTACGAAGAGCCTGTTAGAGGATATTTTAGGCTCTGTAGGGCTATATGGTTTCTGTCGCAAGTATAGTATTCAAAACCCTGCTGTTTGTATCCTGAAAGTCGCCCCAGACAACACATAAATAAATAGCTGTGGGGTCTATTTTGATATAAATTGATGGACACTGCAATTTGAATTTCATATAATTTTCACATCACAGAATCTTTTTCTTCTTTTGGTGTTTCAGCTTGCTGCTCATCCAAAAGCAGGCGGAGGGCTGGGTCGGGCTAGAGGCCACGGTTTACGGACCTGCCACTGACTGTAAGTTTCACGGGGGCAGGGACACTGTCTGTTTTCCCCCATCACATCTCTCAAGTACCACACAAAGCCTTGCTTGCATTCACTCAGTGTTTAGTGAGTGAATTATTAAAGGCAGTGATTTGTAAATTAAACATTTTTATTACACAAGTACTGTGTACTCATGGAAGAAAAATGAGCAACACAGATAAACCAGAAGAGCAAGCAAATCCTCAGTAATCCTGCCGTTCAGAGATAACCATATCCTTTCCTACTTTTTATGCAGTAGATGCCAGAATTCAGGGAAAGGTTCTTTTCTGGCCAAGGGAGTGGTAAAAAGTTTTCTTTCCCCTCAATTCACCAGGGACCTGGGTTTCCCTTTTATAGTGTTAGGAGATATACAGGGCGCTCTGAGAACTTTGCAGCGGGGCGGCGCGGGGGGGGGGGTGTCTACCCTTACCAGTGAGTCAGGGAAGTTCTCATTTCCTAAGGAAGTGATGTTTAGGCTGAGATGACATCGGTTGAGCAAGAAAATGGGGAAGTTCCGTGATGAGAGAGCACGGTGTCTATTTAGAGGCATCTGGCTGGAGGGCAGAGAGGGGGTGGGAGGTGGCAGCCTGCGGAGGTTGGCCCAGACCACAGTAGAACAGTCTTCCCGTCTAGATCTAATTACCAGCTTATGGGAACGAAGGAAGATAAATGAGGAAATTAAAAAAACAAGACAAAACAAAAAACAAAAAGCACAGCAGAAAACATCCCAAGGAAGCCATCAGCCAGATCCAGAATGAGGAAGATTCTACAGGACGAAGATTCTGTTTCTCATTGAACCGGTGGCATGGAAACCAAGAAGAAAGAAAAGGGAGGGAATTCCCTTACAGATTAAAGAGACCGAAGGGACAACAACATCCAAAGCCACCTGTGGACCTTGTTTATTTCTTGGAACAACTCAGCTGTAAAAGGCCATCTTTGAGATAATCAAAGACATTTGAATGTGAACTGGGTGTTGTAAGATATTAGAGAGTACTTGCTGATTTTGTTGGGTGCGAAAATGGCGCGGTGCTTACATCTGTGACGAGTCCTTGTTAGTTATAGATGCACATAAGTGAGATGACGAACGTCTGGACTGTGCTCGCAAACACTCCGGAAAGAAGCTGGGGGGCATGGGGTGTGATCTTGCAATAGACTAATATGTATTTGGTCTTTGTCCCAGTTCCTGGCACGGTGCTTCTCAAAATCTTGGAATTTCCCGAGTAATAGGGGAGAGAGGAGGGTGTTATGTTACTCCCACTAAGGCCTTTTCCACCGTCCCTGAGCATGTGCCAAAGAGGGGACTCCTGGTGGCCGCTGGGTGGCTTCAGGATTATTCCCCAAGAATAAGGTCCTGCGTGTCTGGATTGCGTGCAGCACCTGTGGTGGTTTAAGAGGAAGCTGTGGGTCCTGCGTCCACCCAGTTCCACCCTGCAGCATTTAAAGCCGAGGATATTGCCCTTAAGTTAGTCTCTTTCACAATCCACTTTTTTTTTAAAGATTTTATTTATTTATTTGATACATAGAGAGAGAGAGAGAGCCAAGCAGGGGGAGCGGCGGGCAGAGGCAGAGGGAGAAGCAGGCTCCCCACTGAGCAAGGGGCCCCATGTGGGACTCGATCCCAGGACCCTGGGATCATGGCCTGAGCTGAAGGCAGATGCTTCACCGACTGAGCCACCCAGGCGCCCTCACAATCCACTTTTAAAAAGGTTCTCCAGGAAGTTGATGATACCAATCTACAAAATGGGGCAACTCTTTCACGCTGTACCCGCTGGTGTCTGGTTTCAGTAATTCCGCGGTTTTGCACCCCCTCCCCCGACATTGACAGCCTTCTCGGTGACCAGAGCACACTTGTTCGCTCTGTGGCCATCTCTGAGGCTAGCGGTCGAAGCTTAGGCTGACCAAAACCTGAGCTCCATCTAGCACCAAAGCCCAAACTAGAACTCTTTTTAAATCTCATTTTAGCCATTACAGATAATCACCAAGGGATGGTGTGTTTCCCATTTTTCTTACTAGTTTCCATTTCCTTAGGCAACCAGGGAACTAGCTCCCTGGGAGTTGGGTCCAATTCTAAATTCCACTGGTCGGTTTACCTTGGGTAACTGAGTGCGGACCTCTGCTGTTCGCCCCAGGAGTGACCCCGTGGCCACCCAGGAAGGTAAGGCTCCCCATCCCCTACCCTTCCTTTCTCTTCCCAAACCACATCTTTCTGTGAACCAAGGCCAGTGTAGCCCACTTCTGACACTAACGATTAGCTGTTTTTACTACTAGCACTCTGACACCAAAGTTGTGTGCGTGTGTGTTTCCCCACACCAACCGATTCTCCACCTGCCCAGATAGCAGCCTGTGGGGCGAGAAGTTGCTTGGCCAGTGCAGCTTTGCACCCAGGATGTCGTACTCTTTAGTCAAGTCTCACACTAAGTACCCAGAATGAGCTTAATCCCTGAAGGCCACCCCCACTTTAGATGCCAGGCACAAGTCCTAGGCCTCCAGTACTTCTGACCGACTGATTATAAATTGAGGGTTCCCGTAACCCCCTCCGCAGGTCCACTAATTTACTAAAATGGTTCATCGCACTCAGGAACACAGTTTCCTATTACCGACTGACTACAAAGGACACAACTGAGGGACAGGCACATGGAAGAGATGCACAGGGCAAGGGGTAGGCCGTGGGGTGGGGTGGAGCCCCCACGCCCTCCCCAGCTGCACCACCCTCAGAACCTACCTCAGGGTGCTCACCAACACAGACGCTCTCTGAACCCCATTGGTTAGGGGTTTTTATTGTGGTTCTATTATGTAAGCATGATTGATGAAATCCTGGTGGTTAACTCGGTCTCCAGCCCCCTTGCCACTCTTTGGCAGTTGAAAAGTCGGGTGAAAATTCCAGTACTCTACTCAAACTATTACTAGCAAGCAGCCTCCATGGTGAAGTTCAATAGGGGTCCACCTAGGGTCACCTCATTAGCATAAACTCAGGTATGGTTGGAAGGGCTTGTGATGAATAACCCTTAAGACTGCTTTCACTAAGGAGATTCCAAGGGTTTCAGAAGCTCTTGTGCCAGGAATCTGGACAAGACCAAATACATACACATGTCTTCGTATGTCACAGACTCCCAAGAAGTAATAATAAAATGAGAAAAACGTTGATAATTGTTGAAGCTGAGAGACCAATACATAGAGATTCATGATGCAGTCTCTGGGCTTTTGTGTGTATTTGGAAACTTCGACGCTAAGATATTTATACTAAAAGAGAATGACAGAAGGGGAGAGAAGAACCTATAAGCCATATAACGTGTTTATCAAAACGAAGAAATTAACATCGACACAATACCGTTGGCTAAACTCTACAGATTTTATTTGGATTCCTCCTCCAGTTTTTCTGCTAAGGTCCTTTTTCTGACCCAGGATCCAGTCCAGGAGACCACATCATAGTTAGATGTCACGTCTCCCTACTCCCTTCCAGTCTCTCAGTTTCTTCGATGACTTTGGAACACCTTGGAAGAAGAGCAGCCAGGCATCGTGTAGACTGTCCCACAGTGTGGATTTGTCTGCTGTTTTCTCACGGTCAGACCGAGGTCATGGATTTTTGGGAGAAATAGGAAGGTGATGTGGCTTTCTCACTGCAACATGTCAGGGAGCACATGATGTCCCCGTGACTTACGCTCATTAACCTTCATCACTTGGTCAAAGTGGTGTCTGCCAAGTTTCTCCATTACTCTTCCCTTTCTGTACGTATGACTGAGTCACTAAACCCAGCCCACACTCAGGGGATTTTAAGAGTGGAGGAAAGTCACCAGAGGGATCTAAGCAGGGAAGGAATGTCGTAGAAAGAATTCTCTGCCGGACACGTCGAGTGGGCAGTGAGAGTGGACGTGAACTGGGTTTGAGTGACGTTCGCAGTGGACTCAGCACAAGCTGGTTCTTCATTGCGTATGAGTAATGAGAAAAGGGCAAGGATGGCCCACGGCTGGGTGACTGGGGGCCTTTCGCGGCCCCTAAACCAAGGCCTGTGCGCCCCCAGGAGCTCGTGTGCGTCCCCTGCCAGCTAGTGAGAAGCCCCTCTCGGCTCCTGGGTCTTGCCTTGCCTTGGGGCGGGCCCGAGGGTTACTGGGGCCTACAGTGACTTACACACATACATCAGGAGTTTGGGATCACCAAGGAGGGTCGGAGTCGGAGCCGCAGGGAAGAGGAGACAGCTGTCGAGGGGCTGAAAGAAGCTGGAGGAAAATGAATCACCCCGAAATCCTTTTCCTCCCTCTACGTTTAACGACCCGGTTATGCGTGTGTAACCAGAGCGTCCGTGACTCAGTGGTTTCAAACAAATACTTTTATTTACCTCTGCGAGCTCCGCCAACCCGCCTCCCCCGGGCCGTGCGCGTTTCGGTTCTCCCTCCCCGGGCGTGCGAGGGGGAGGCCTGGGCGGCCACACCTGAGCCCTCACCTGCGCCGGCGGGACCCCCGCCCGGGTTTCTTCTCCCCTCGGCGCCTGCGGGCGGGGGCGGGGGGCGCGGTGGGGGTCGGGACCCGGGGCGCGGGGCCGGGCGCCGGGCGGGCCCCACTCCCCTGCGGGGGCTTGTAGACCAGGTGGAAGATGAAGGCGTTGCAGTACCTGAGGGGGCGTGGCGCCGTCAGGGGCGTGGCTTCCGCGGGGCGGGGCGGCGCGGGCTGAGCACGCCCCTGGGGAGGGTAGAGCGGGCGGGGTCCCGGGAGCCGGATCCAGCCCGCCGTGTGCTCTCTGGGTCGAGGCCCGCGGGGGCGGGGGTCGCGGGGAGGGGGTTCCCGGAGGGCGGAGGACCCCGCGGGGGTCGCGGGCCCTTACCAGGGCATGCAGTTGTCGGCGGCTCGCAGGCGAAAGGGGGAGCGGAAGGGGTTGGGCCGCGGGGGGCTGGTGCCCCCTCCCGTGGCCACCGCCATGGTCTGGTCGTCCATCACACAGCCGTACTCGCTGCTCTCGGTGAAGAAGGCCGGGACTCGGAGGGACTGCGGTGGGCGCGGGCCTCTGACTCTGGGAGCGGCGCCTCCGCCCAGCCCCTCCCCAGGCGCCAGGGGCGCAGACGGGGGTGGAAACCCGGGATCCAGACAGACAGGGAGGGGGGCACGAGGCAGGCAGACAGACAGACAGACAGACAGGGTCGGGAGGGCCCTGGGCGCGCCCCGGGTCTGGAGCAGAGGGTGGGAAGAAGCGGCTATCGGAGAAGGGGGGTGGGGGGAGGCAGGAGGGGAGAGCAGGTCCCTTTTGGCCCATCCCCCACCTGTAGCCGGGGCAGCGAGCTCAGCCAAGTGTCCTTGAGACCGAAGCCGGAGTTAAATCCTGCAGACCGAGGGAGAGTGGAGAGCGGGCAGAAGCTGTCGCCCTCGGCCTTCTCCCAGGTCCCCACACTCCTACCCCAGGCTCTTACCGATAACCAGGTCGGGTTTGGGCCCCTGGAGCAGGTGGTAGGGCCGTGCAGACACCTTGATCTGCAGGTCCCTGCGGCCCCCCTTCTCCTTGGTGCTGGAGCTGAGCCGCGCGGATACCCCGGAACCGGGACGGACAGACACCTCTGGGCCATCCTGGGGAGCCAGGAGCACAGTGGAGAAACCGCTGGAAGTTAGGGCACTGGGAGGCGCTAGGCTAGGGGAGAGCAGGAGGAAGGAGGAACCCCCCCACCCCAGCCCTCACCCTCTGCAGGGTAAAATGCTGCTGGTCACTGTCAGGGGGCAGGCCGTCACCCACAAACTGCAGCTCCAGGGCTACGTGGGGGAGCAAGACCAGGAGCTCCTGAAGGACAGAGAGGACAGATCAGGGCCCCACCCCACGGCCAACTCCACACCCAAATGCCCAACCTCGGGTCCTGGAGGGACTCACCCAAAACACCATGACCAGGTCGAACTCCTTCCCGGCTTCCACCACGTGAATTTTCAGTGACTGCTTGTTCTGGATGTTGAGCTCAGGGACTGGGGGAGAAGTTGGCCACTTAAGAAGATGGCCTGCCTTCCTCTTCTCCCCCTCCAGCTCCCTGCCCCCTCGGTCCCGCCGCTCTGCTCTCCTTACAGGACTGGGGCACCAGGTGGGTGATGATGTAATACACGGTCAACGGGTAGGTGAGAAGCACGGCCATGGGGGAGTCCAAGCTGAGGCCCCTCCACGTGTAGTAATCCTGCCACGAGCCTGGGGGGAGCGGGTTACCGGGGGACCTGGCCCCGGCCTGGACCCCAGCAGCCCCTTCCAGTCTAAGAGCCCCCTTTTTCTCAGCCGTTCAGACTGCTGGCCCTGCAGTCCCTGTCCCTACCTCTGGCCCCCTCGGGGCCCCTCCAGCTCACCAAAGATGCCCCTGGGTGGATCTGGGGGCACAGGAGGCATCAGGGCAGGCCCATCCCCCTGGAGAAGCTGGTAGGGATCTCCTGAAAGGATGGAAGGAAGAAGAGGATCCTGGGGTCAGGGAGACCCCCACCCGGCACATCCCCTTCTTCCTTCCAAAGGAGCTGTATTCCCTGGAGCTGCAGCAAGAGGAATGGGAGATTGCCTGCGGATGGGGCTTCGCAGTGGGGTGGGCAGTGGTGACTACTTTGAGGATTGGGGAAAGGCCTGAAATGGCCACGGTGGTGGTAATGGAGTTGGGTGTGTATGTGGAGGGGTTGTCTGGGGCCTGGACAACCGTTTTCTCCCCCATCCTTCCCTCTACGCTGAGGGGCCCATGCCTGAAGAGAGGCCCCACGAACCACCAAGAAGAAGGCTCAGGGCTGGTGTGCTGCCCCGGGGGTGCCTGGGGGTGCCAGGGCCTGGAATCAGCATGCTGAGCTGGGTCCAGTAGCCGCGAGTGAGGCCCCGTGAGGCCAGAAAGGCCTCCTTGTTGAAGGTTTCACTGGTCACCTCTGGAGAGGGAGGAGGGGAGGGGGTGAGGGCCTGGTGGCTAGGACCCCAGACTATAGCTCTTCTCAGTTTCTCTCAAGGCCCCTGGGTCTGAATCTGGTTCTAGGCCTGGAGAGAACCAACATTCCCGGTGTCTGCAGTACAGCAGATACCACCGAACCCATGGGATCCTTGTAACAATTCCCTGGCTTTTAGCATTGGTTAATATACTCATTTTACAGATGAGGAAACTGAGGGTCTAAGAATTCAAGTGATTAGTTCATGCTCTCCAGTTACTGGCAGAGCTGGGCAGCAAGTGCCTGCACCCCTGTTCCCGAATCCCCTGAGCTCTCTCAGGGGCGCAGGCTCCTCACACTCCTCGGCTCCAGACCCTGTCTTCAGCCCCAGGGCTCTGACCGCCAGCCCTAAATCCCCAGCATCTGGGCCTCACTCCTGCGGTGCGGCCCTGAGCACTTCTCCTGCAGGCCCGGGACCCTGTCCCCAGGCGCCCAGCCCCAGTCCTAAACCCGTTTCAGTCCTGCCCGCCCCCCAGCCCCATTGCCTTGTGGTACCTGCGGTGTAGCTGAAAGGCAGACTTGCCAGCTCCCCGGCCCGCTCCATGAAGCCTGCAAGCCTCGGGCACCAAAATCGGTGGCTCACGTCATCTGGGCATCGGCGCCAGTCGGCCCTGAGACAAGCCTCTCCACAGTACAAGACGGCACTGCACTGGGGGCTGGGGTCACAGGGGGTGGTGGGCACCCAGCGTTCATCTCTGTAGGTCCTTGGCCTGCTCTTTGTCCTACAGCTGCCCATGTATCATCCGGTCTGCTTTTCTGTGCACTCTGCTCCTAACAGCTTGCTTTTTATCCCCCATCGGCTTCCCGGACCCTCACTCTGTCTGCCGCGCCCCACCCCCCCACCAGCCAGCTTTCTCTGCTTGCCCGAGTGTTGGGGGTCTCCCTCCCTCTCACTCCATCTTTCGGGCTGCTCACCAAGGTGTCAGCTTCACCTCGAAGCTGTGCCTATGGCAGACATGGCAGGTTCGAGCCCGGAGGGAGGCAAATGTGAAGCCTGGCCGGGGACCCCATGTCCGCATCGGCGTCTTGGCTAACTTCACTCCCAGCCTCGGGACCAGACTCTCCAAGTCTCTGAATGGGGGTGGAGACTGTCAGGCTGGGGGGCTCAGGAGTCCAGATCCCTAGGCCTCCCCAACCTCAGATACCAGGTTTATGTACCGATGCAGCTGGGCATCTCCCACGGTGAGCTGTCGGGGCTTTCGAGGGTCTCCGGAGCCCATGGGGCAGGCCATGCTGTGGCACAGGAGAGCATAGGCCCGAGGAACCAGGTTCTCGGTCCCTGAGCCCTTGCCTGCACTCCCCTGGGTTCCATCCATTAGCAGGTCAATGCCCAGGATGGTGCCATGTTCATCGGTCACCAGTAGGAGGCAGGAAAGGTGCAGGGGGGCAGCCTCTGGGAAAGAAGGGACAAGTCAAGGGCGGGGAGCCCCAAAGATGGTCAGGGTCGGGAGTATGAACATCATGCCTACAGGGGCTAGGCGGGTCAACTAAGTGAACGGAACGGAGCGGGTAGAGAGGGGATGCCTCATCAGAAGGGGACACCTGCTGCACAGTGCCGGGGCGTGTGTGGCCATGCAGAAGTGTGGACCTGCTGTTGGAACTTTCTGGAATTTTTTCTTTCAATGTATACATGTTGGCCCAAAGAAAACCAACAAAACGAAAAACATTGTGGGTCAATGAAAACATCTTTCCTGGCCAGACTGGCCTTCAGGCCAGCATTGGTGACTCCTGGCCGGGCTGCCTGGTAGAGGGGGTCTTCCAAAGGGCAGAAGGCCCAGCCCAGGGTTCTTACCACTTCTCCACCCCTTCCTCCTCTCAGGGCCCGCTTCGTCGTCCGCCTTGTCCGCCCGGCAATCATCCTCGCCGCCTCCTGCCTCCTGCTCAGCCTCCTCCGTCTCCCCTGCAGGCTTTGCTTCCTGGCGGGGCTCCCTGCTGGCGGGGGCTGGCTCCCCACCCTCCTCTGGATCTACCTTCTCCACGCCTGCACCCTCCTTGTCCCCCTTCTCTTCCTCCTCCTCTGCTTCCTCCCCTTCCTCCAGGCTGACAAAGCTGACATAGGGGCTTAGGTCTCGCAGCTGGAGTGGGGGCTCATCTCCCAGGAACCGGGCAACCCCCAGGCCTGGTCCAGGGCCTGGCTCTGCCCCCTGCCCCAGGCTGATGCCCACACTATGGTTGGGCAAGACGTGGAGCACCCAAAGGGCAGGGTCCTGGGGCAGCCTTCTTATCTGAGCCTCCAGCTGGCGCCAGCGACCCTCAAGGCTGGCCCCCCCAGCCCCACGCTTTGCCGTGAACTTTCGGAACCAGCCAAACAGGAGGGCAGCGAAATCAAGGAACTCATCTCGGTATCCAGACACAAACTCCATGTCTTCAGGGCCGCAGGTTCTGGGCCCAGACTGAGCAGAGGAAGGGATGTACGGTGAGGGAGAGGGTAGGGATGGGTTTGGGGCTGGGTCCCCAAATGGGGTGTGTGTGGGTTTGAGGGTCACTTACAGTGGGACCTCTGGGTGAGTGTTAGCAGCTAAGACAAGTTTTCAGGGCTAAGGGTGGGAGTTCAGGGTGAGAACCGGGGCTGGGCTTGGAAGCGGGCCAGCAGGGTTTAAGATGAGTAGTCAGGAGTGAGATGGTACCTGGGCCTCAAAATCTGAGGCTCAACCCCTCAAAAGTAGAGTTTGATTTGTGACTAGATTTGGAGGGCTAATCCTATGGGGAAGGGCTTGGTGAGAAGGAATTATTTTGGATCCGTCTGTAGGGTGTGGGAGGAGGGACCCGGAGCCGGGGCATCCCGTCGGCATGGATCGGTTAGGCGGGGAGCCCCCGCGGACCCAGCCCCTCCCGGCCGCTCCACCACTCCGGTACCTGCAGCCGCCACCACTTTTCGAAGGTAAATACCTCGGGGCTGGGGGAGCGGGCGTGACGTCAGGGCGGCCGGAGCCCGCGGCCCGCGGTCCGCGGCCCGGGTGGCCCCGCCCCGTGCGTTCGAGGCTCGCGCGGAGCGGGGCGTGCCGGCTCTGTGGCCCCTAGCGGACTTCCCCGGGGACATCACCGGGCATGTGACCGAGTGGCCGGCGCCCGGCGGGGAAGCGAAAGCGCCGAGGGGGTGGAAGGAGCCGTGCGGCCGCGCCTGCGAGTCCTCGGGCCCTGCGGCCTGACGTGGGGCGGCCGGACGGGCGTCCAGGAGCCGGGCTGAGTTAGTCGGTCCGCCGCCCGCGCCGCGCGCCCCGCGCCCCGCGCCCCGCCTAGCAGTCGCGCGCGCTCGCGTTTCGCTTTGCGGGGACCTTCCCGGCCGTCTCCTGTCGGCGCGGGCCCGGGGCCGACTGGGGGCGCGGGGGTGCGGGGGCGCGGGGGCGCGGAGCCCCGCCTCCGGGGCTTTCCCCGCGGCGGCGGGCGGCGGACGCGCGCGGGCCCGCAGTACCGACTGTGCTGTCGGTTCGGACGGTGCGAGCGCGGGAGGAGGGCGCCGCCAGCTCGCGCTGCACCCCCCACCCCACCCCACAGCCCCGGCCGGGACTCGCCGCCCACGGCCGCGGCTGCCCGGCATTCCCGCGGGCCCGGGACGAAGCCGCTGGACGCCGCGCTCCGGTCCCGCCCGGCCCCCGAGATGAGCCCGCGCTGGGGCGCCGGGTTCCTCGCGCTCCTCTTCCTGCTGGCGCAGCTGCCTCCGCCAGGTTCGTCCGGGGCCGGGCTGGCCCCCAGGTCCCGGAGTCCGCGGACGGGATGGGGGCGGCGTGGGGGACGGGGGCGCCGAGGGCCGCGGGGTTGTGTTAGGTGGCAAGCCGGGGTCCCCATGCAGCCCGGGCGGGAGACAGGCTGGGGGACACCCGGGTCCGGGCCGTGTTCAGGACGTGTTTGGGGGTGTGATGTGTGGGTTGGGCCCGGGGGTCAGATCCGGGATCGAGGGAAGAGGCGCAGTACCAGCGGGGGGAGCCGTTTGGGCGGGGAACCTGCGCTGACCACCTGTGTCTCCCCCCCCCCCAGGCGATGGCAACGAGGGTAGCGCCATCGGGAGTTGTTACTGCCACAAAGCGATTCCTTCCGGCCCCCCTCCGATGGCGGAGTTCATGGCACATCTCCGAAAACACCTGAGAGCCTACGATCGCTGTAATTCCTACGTCAGGTAGTCTCACCGAGCACTGGGAGCGCAACGCCTCTGGGGGCCTCCAGGACCCTCGCTGCTCCACCTGGAACCCCCGGGGCGGGGGGACCTAACCCCCTCCCAGGATTCCGTTCGCCCCGTTTATCTCCGTATCTTGCTTTCCCTTTCCCACCTACCTGGGAATTTCCCAGTCTGGGCAGACCGGGTTCATTGGCTCTTGGCAGTGACTTAACTTCTTGGGAATGAGGAAAGAGCTGAGACCACTTTCTTCCTTCCTAGGTTCCAGCTACACTCCCGGAGTGTGTGTGGGGGCAGCAAAGATTCGTGGGTTCAACAGTTGATGAGGTGCTTTGATCGCAAAGGTACCGCTTTCCCCCTCCTCCCTGGGGTCTGCCCCTTACAATCTTCTTTGCCTCTGTCCCCTCCCCATGACACCTCGCGTTCCTATTGTACGTGGTGTCAGCCAAAGTCCCTTAGACCCCAGTTCACCCAATGTTGCTCACCATCGCTGTTCTGATTTTTGCCAGTTCCTCCTGTGCTTTTACTTAATATTTTTCTTGAAAGCAAGGCACTACTTTTGTTTTCCAGTATTTACTATGGAAATTTAAAGACTTACACAAAGGTTGAAAGAATTGTTCAGGGAACGTCTATAGGCCCACCACCTAGATTCTACGTTATTTGGCTTTTGTATATTTGTATTTCACATCTTTTCTGTGGTAGATACAAAATACAGCAAATGTAATTTATATTTTACAATATCAAGTTTTATAGCATGTTAACTATATTGGCTTTAGGGCATGCCCATCTGTCTATCCTATCCGTCATCAATGCACCGTATTGTTTTTAAAAGATTTTGAGAGAGAAAAGAGTGCATGGGGGGGGGGTGCAGAGGGAGGAGCAGACTCCTAGCTGAGCAGGGAGCCCGAAAGGGGGCTCTATCTCAGGACCCTGAGATCAGGACCTGAGCTGAAGGCAGACGCTTCCCCAACAGAGCCACCCAGGCGCCCCCACCTTATTTTTTTGATGCATTTCCAAGTTAGCCTGCAGGCATGACCACACTTCATCCCCAAGCATTTCAGCATGTGCATTACTGAGCTCAACACTTTATTGTGCTTTTCCTCTTTTGAGGTAAAATTTACATACAATAAGACGAATAAAATTGTTATGCGTACACATGCCACTTTTAAAAAACTTAACTAGCAGCTTGTCCTAAAGCAATAACATCTGTGAAGTCACAAAGCTGATGCGCCCGGCTGTATTTTTCTTCTAAAATAAATACACAAAAAAACGTTCTAACCTGTCGCAGCATAAGTTGTCTGATGTAGCTTCCGTGGCGCACAGACTGCTCTGTGGGCTAGAGACCTACATGCAGGCTTTCCCTTAATCCTCCTAGCTACTGTGGCCCTTGGTAGGAAAATCCTCCCTGCTCTAGAGCTGGAAGAAAGGCATCCCAGGGAAGTCAAGACACAAGGAACAAGGTCACATGGCGACCCTGTAGCAGAGCCAGGCTTCCAACCCAGGTCTCTCCACCTCCCCGTTCAGGAGGCATGCCCTTCCCAGTGCTTGTCCCAGTGCTTCCCTGTTGCGGTCTGCCCTCTTCTTGGACTGCTTCTTCACTTGGTCCCCTCATCTCATAGCCCTGATTCCTTATTTCTCGCCTCTCCAGAATGTGGATACGCTAACTCTGGGAGTGCAGCCCCCCAGGGGCATCTACCTCCTCCCAGCACCCAGGTTCCTGAGCCCACACGAAGAGCACCTTCAGACATGGGCTCCCCTGCTCAGACGCACCTGCCACCCACCTCGCGGTCTACCGCGCAGCCCACGCTTCCAGCTGGGGAACGGGCCTTAGACAAAAAGCTCACCCATGCCAATGAAATCGCTACATCCACTGAGGGCCAAGGTCTGGGGGCTGGGCCTGAGGCTGGGGAGAGGCAGAAGCAGCTGGAAGAAAAACCGGGGCCTTCAGCGGGAACCTTAGCCCTGGTGCCTGTGCTGTCCCTCCTGACCATCGTCTTCATTCTCACCACCGTCCTCCTGTATGTGCTCTGCAAGAGGATGAAGCATTCAGTGCAGCAGTCTCCAGGTAAGCTGGGCCTCTGGGCCCATCTCCTGGGGACTCGGAGCTTCCTTGGTAGGGATCCTGCCCCCAGTAGCTCCTAGGTGGCTGGAAACCTGCCCCAGACAGACAGACAAGCAGGCTGTCTGCACCGCGGACCATAGGCCCTGAGAGAAGAGTCAGCTAGAGACATTTACATAATAGGAAGGGAGGGAAGGAAGCCATCACAGGCCCAGGGACCTGTGCTTGGCCTTCAGAGCCAGGCGGGGCTTGGAGCAACATCAGATGGCAGCTAGAGCAGGCTAGGGGGAGATGAACCTGTGCAGGAAGGTGGGGGCCGTTCATTTAATTCACAAATCTTTACTGAGCACCTACTCTGTACTAGGTTGTATGGTTGATGTTTTGGGTTCTAATTCCCCAGCTCAAGCCATTCTCCCAACTTTCCTTAATCTTAGAGCTGATATCTTAATTTCCTTATCTTTTCCAGATTTGCAGCTTCATTACACACCTGTGGCATCAGACTACAACGCCTGAGCTGAGAGTGGAAACCCCCGTAAGGGTAGACGCTGTGATTTATTCAGCCCCGTATGCCTTTAATTAACACATCAGAATAATCTCTGGCACATAATTGGCACTCCATAGCTATTTGATGTTTAATATACAAACATCCAGCCACCGCCCTCTTGTAGACCCTTCCTGGGTTTTTTTCCTATAATGTGAAATCTACCCTTTACTGTAATACCCTAGACAAATTATGTGTTTAATTACAAAGATTATTTTTATAATTATTGGCTCTTCTTTCTGCAGACACTGGCCTCATGTCCTTGCTCTCTTACCATGGTTCCTGGCTTCAGCCCCTCCGCTCAGGGTCCCACCGCCCCCTTGTCCCAGTCTGTCTTCACACACCGGCTGTTCCTCCCCTGACTCCCCACTGCAGGCCTGGGCCCTCCCGCCGCTTCCTCCCTCCTCAGCAGGCACCATGCAGTTTGGTTTTATTTCCTCAATCCCCGTATCACCCACATATGTTCCAGTGAGAGTCTGAGCTCCTTGCTTTCGTTGCTGTTGTTTTTATCATTAAAACCCCTAGTTCTTCTTTTGTCTCTTTCAATGAAGAAGAATGTGTCTTCATTGGTCCAGTCTGCAGAAGCCTGCGGTAGGGACACAGGGTGTTTGAGGAAGTGTGCTGGGTGTCTGCATCTCTGTCTGAGCTTGTCAGCACTTTTGTGGTGCGCACCTGCTGGCGCACCCTGCTGGGAGAGCCAGGGCATCGACGCGGGCCGGCTTGATCTGCAAGTGCCTCCGTCCCCACCTTCTGCCCCTTTGTCCTCAGATACTCTGCTCAGCAGGGCCGGTATGTGGCAGCCCCGACTCCCCACGCTACAGGTCTCCGGGTTTTGTCCCGGGTGCCGTGTGGTGGCCTTCCTCCAAGTTCTCCCTCTACCTGGTCGGCCTAGTTTTCCAGCAACTGCTCACAGGTTCGGGCCACATCGCTGAGCTTGAGGCGAGCATAGTCCACTCGCTTCAGGGCCATCTGACAGTCCTTCCTCGAAGAGTAGCTGGAGCCCTCATGGGGCTGCCCCGTGGCCACCTGCAGGACATTCAGACGGATCAGTGACCCACCCCTTCCCTTACCCAGCTCCCCAACCCAGAGAGCATCAGGTCTCTTGTCTCGTTTCTTCCCTGAATGTGAAGCCGTTCGGGCACATGGGAGGCGGCTGGGTGACCCAGGGAAAATCACTGAACTTGTCTACGTCATCTGTAAAACGTGGGTATGCCTAACTACCTCCTAGAGTTGTAGGATTAGATGAAGCAGTGTCTGGTACGTTGTAAAAACTTAATGAAGAGTGCTGTTGTAAAAGACTTGAGAACCCTCTCAACCCTGTCCCTTTTCTCGGGGCGTTGCCGCTTCAGGCCCCCAAGGTCAGGTCAAGTTTCTGAGTGCACCGTCTCGTGGCTTTGGCACTGATCACCAGTCCTTTCCCAGGACTTCCTCGTCCAGCGGCTCATGGGATGCGGGCCAGCAAACTCGGCAAGGCTACCTTTAGTATTTTCCCTCCAGAGAGGGAAGCCGACACTGGAAGGGAGGGATTCTGCAAAGGTGTCCCCGCCCGCTCCAAAGGCCAAAGCCCCGCCCCGAAAGATCCCGGCCTGCCAAGGCTAAGGCGGAGAGCGGGGTGGGGCGCAGCACGTCCCACCGCACACACCTGGGTGAGGTAGCGGATCTGAGCCGACAGCTCCGCCTCCACGTGCTGCACCGACGCCGTGAAGGCCGCCGCCTGCCGGTCCAGGAGCCGCTCGTTGGTTTTTTCCTTGGACAGTTCCAGGATCACAGTACCTGCGGGGGCGAAGAGAGGGCCGGGGCTGGCCGGAGAGGGCCGGGGCTGCCCCCCGCGGGCACCTGGGGTCCCGCCCCTCCCCGCCGCGAGCGCAGGTGCCGGCCGTTGTGTCCCGAACCTGCATTCTGGAGAATGGCGCCGATTTCCCGTTCGATATCCTCCAGGGCGCGGAGCCTCTCGTTCGCCAAGCTGTAGGTAGCCATCGCCGCCCTGGGGAGCCCCCCGAGGAGCCCCCGCCCCGGCCCCAACTCCACGGGGTTTTTCTCCCTCCGCGAAACGCGACGCTTGAGCCCGGAAGCGGCTGTCGGCTTGCGCCTGCGCAGGGCGCGCTCGGGGCTGCGACTACAATTCCCAGGATGCTCGGCGCCGCCTGGCCTGGTGAACTACAACTCCCAGGGTATCGAGCGCCTGCCCGGCTCTGCGCCACCGCCGCCCCCTCGCGACCACCTGTGGTAAGAGGCGGGAGGGAAGCGTTCGAGGTCGTTGAGCCCTGCGCGCCTTCGCGACACTCCTGGGGGCTCGATTTGATGTCTTCTACGAGAAGCGCCCGCGCGGCTGCTGGTGCTGGGTGAGGATGATGGGAGCCCTGGGGTGCTCCGCCTGCCCGCCCCGCTCCGCCGTCCGTCGGGGCCTGGGGATAGGCTGACTCGGTGAGTGTTACATTGTTCCTCCCGGGCGGGAGCCCCGCCGACACCCAGGCTTAGCAACGTGTTCCCCGGAGCTGGCTCCTTTCGGCCTTCCCCCCTTCCCTTTCTGGCCGCCGGTTACTCGGCCGGGTCTGGGGATGCGGCACGAATGGGATGGGCTCTCGGGTGACAGCGAGGTCGACGTTTGCTCCGAGGCGTGCGCAGGGTGCACCTGCAGGAGCCCAGAGAGAGGATTCTGGGGGGCAGCGCTGCTGGAACCGAGTCTTGCGGGTTAACCGGGTGGACGAGAGGCTGCAGCGGAAAAGGGGAGCGGCGCAGGCAAGGGCGTGGGGCCGGGGAGGGGGTGCCTGGCGCCGCCCAAGTACCACCAGGGATTCAAGTTTGAGCCGAGCGAGGGCAGCGTGGCGGCGGTGAGGCTGGAGTGGGAGCCAGATCAGGAAAAGGCTTGCAAGCTGAGTAATTTGGACCTTGTTCTGAAAGCCCTTGAAGGATCTTCAAGAAGTGTGTTATGGCCAGGTTTTTGGAAAGGTCAATCTGGACAGGCCCTGGAAGATGGAGAATGAAGCTACTTGGCACAGGGTTAGCAAATGAATGGAGACTTTCAGTTCAGCTTGAGAGACCTAGCATTTAACTTCACTCCTTTTGAAGATCCTAATCAAAGAACACCAAGGGGATTTTATTAAGGGGTCAGAGAGAGAGAGAGAGGAATTAATAGCAAAACTTTAGATAGAAGCTGGAAGACAGAAGAGTAAGTGATGACTGATTTAGTAGTGAAGTGGTAATGAAGCCAGCGGTGGAGAAAGCTTAAAAGCAACTTGATTTCGGGCGCCTAGGTGGCTCAGTCCTTAGGCGTCTGCCTTCGGCTCAGGTCATGATCCCAGGGTCCTGGGATCGAGCCCCGCATCGGGCTCCCTGCTCAGCGGGAAGCCTGCTTCTCCCTCTCCCACTCCCCCTGCTTGTGTTCCCTCTCTCGCTGTGTCTCTCTCTGTCAAACAAATAAATAAAATCTTAAAAAAAAAAAGCAACTTGATTTTCTCTTAAATTAGTGCCGTCATGTACACTGGGGTGTAGGTGATAGTAAAATGAGGAGGATTATGTAAAGTAGTTAGACCCCCCCTGCCCCCCCCCAGATCTTCTCCTTTAATGCATACATCTCTGCAACCACTCAATCCCAACCCATCAGATTCCTGGAGGTTTCTTTGTTGAAGATGGAAAACAGAGGGTCTTTGGTGTGAAAGGCCCACCCAGGGCACAGTTGTATTGAAAACAGAGATTAGGGGTGCCTGGCTGGCTCAGTCAGAAGGGTAGCGAGTTTGAGCCCCACGTTGGGTAGTAGAGATTACTTAAATGGATACATAAATTAAAAAACAACAACTTAAAAAACGAAAAGAAAATAAGGATTAAATGAAAGTTTATTTACTGAGTTGTTCCAATCTGGAATTTTATACTCCGGCTGTGCTAGGATGAAGGCTAAAAATGCAATGATTCAACAACATAGAACTTAATTTTTTTCCCCCGTAAAACAGCCCAGCGTGGGTAATCCAGCCGCACAGATCAGCCGGAGATCAAGACGAGCCGCTCAGCTCTGCCACCCTGTAGGGTCTTGTACTCCAGCGTGTGGTCTGCAGGTCAGCAGCACTGACATGACCTAGAAGCTCGCTAGACCTGCAAAATCGCAGGCCCCGCACACATCTTCCGATTCAGTATCTGGGTTTGAAGTTCCTCAGGTGATCTGAATGCACGGTAACCTCTGAGGGACACTGCTCTGGGGCAGTGCTGTCTGTCCTGTAGAGACTGGCTGACTGCCTGCTTGGGTCATAGCTGGCAGTGAGGGGGAGGAGGAAACGTGGGGGAGGCAGACCCCGGCTCAGAGGTCTGACTAGGAAGTAGCCCAGATAATTCCTACTCACGTTCCACTGAATAAACAGTCGTATGGTCTCACCCAACTCTGGGGTTCTGGGAAATCCGGTCCTTACCTAGGTGGCCATCTTCTGTCCTCACAGCATGGAGGAAGAGATTTTAGGGGAGACGTGGACTCTCAGCACAGCCAAAACAAAGATGGAATAAAGACATTTTGATATGTCCAGAGGTGGCAAATTTTTCTGCCGAGTTCCCTCAAAATGACAGTGATTCAGGGAAGACCACCTGGCGCTAGAAGAGAAAGGTCATCAGGACGACTCTGGATAACTTACGTGTAGGCTTGAAAGTATAAATACTGGGGTGCCTGGGTGGCTCAGTCGTTAAGCGTCTGTCTTCGGCTCAGGTCATGATCCCAGGGTCCTGGGATCGAGCCCCGCATCGGGCTCCTGCTCAGCTGGAAGCCCACTTCTCCCTCTCCCACTCCCCCTGCTTGTGTTCCCTCTCTTGCTGTGCCTCTTTCTGTCAAATAAATAAATAAAATCTTTAAAAAAAAAAAAAAGTATAAATACTGAATATTGACCTAACCTCCACTGATACCATTCTCTTGGGAGTATGGGATGCCGGGGGCAGGAGGGAAGGTATTCGGCTGTGGGGGAGAGGGGCAGAAGGGAGCTCAGTCTTCACCTCGTATGGCAGGACGCCAGAGATGCTTAAGAAGAAAATCAGAAAGTAGCAAAGTGAGCAGGTTATTTGGGAATATGGAGGTCAATACCAGAAGGAACATCTGAAGTAGGTGAAGGTAGCTGCCTCTGGGGAGAAGGGAGTTGGAGAGGGATGGGGTATAGGCCTTGTGATTGTGTCCGACCCCTTACACCATGTGCATATATGACTTTGAAAATAACAACGCACTAAAAGCGAAGTGGTAGAGAGGAAACGAGTAGAGATTTACTTCATGTGGAAGAAACCTGGGTGTGGAGGAGTGTCTTCTCTTTGGTCTCCTTCCTTCCTCGAGTAGAAGAGACTTGCGTGGGTTTATGCACCATGGAGGAAGAACCAGTGGAAAGAGGCAGGGGTAGAAGAGAGGCGGGTGGTGGGATGAATCGGGGTCTCAGAGGAGGTGGGAGGGGAGAGATGTGAGCACAGGTGGAGGGGTGAGCTTTGAACGGGAGGAGGCGGCTTGGCCTTGGTTGTAGAGAGAATTGGGATCCATGTTGATGTTTGTGGGTAGGAGGTAGGAAGTTGAAATCATTCATCCCTTGCAGCCTCATCTCTGTGAAAAACAGAAAGATTTGCAAGGTGGTGAGGGAGGCGGCCAGGAAGATGGCGAGGGACAAAGGCTCATCAGGAATTGAGGGCCCAGCTGAGGTTAGAGACCATAGGGGCAACGGCCCCAAATGCGTACCCAGCGCCCAGTGTTGACACCTAGGATGTGTTAAAAATTACTTGTTGAATGAACAAATATGTCCAGTTGTGTGATTTTTCTGTGGTGGTGCTCGCTAACCCTGTCAGGCGGGGCGGGCAGGGTGGTGGTGGGACGGAGCCCAGGCTGGGGTCTGAGAGCAGGTGTTTGAAAGGAGGGGCAGTTGAGCTAGAGGATGGGATTGCAGTGGGCAAGGTGGGCTCCAAGTTCCGTCTGGAAAGAAAGGCGCCAAATTGCCAGGGAACAGACGGGCCAAGAGCTTGGCGCCAAAAAAAACAAAAACAAAAACAAAAAAAAACCCACCAAGAAGCCATTAAAAAGGTGATTATGATTGTGTACCTTAACATTTAAAAAGTGAATTATTAAAAATATCAGGAGCAAAACTAGGGGTGTTGGCTGCACAACATTGTGGATGTATTAAATGCCACTGAACAGTTTAAAGTGGTTAATTTTATGTTCTGTGAAAAAACCAAAACAAAAAATAAAAAAACCCCAAAAATCGCCCCCCAAAATACGAACCTAGAAACAAATTCAGAAGACAATGACAGACTGGGAAAAATATTTGCAAAATATATGACAAAGGGCTCATTTTTTTAGTATATAAAGAGCCCTTAGAGTATGTTAAAAAAAAAAAAAGTACCCAAATAAGTCAGGTTTTATCCTTACCCATAATCAAACAAATGCAAATTAAAACTCAGATGATACCATATTTCACTTGCTTGATTGGCGGGATCCTAAAGATGCTCACAGTCTTTGACTCAGCAAGTCTGCTTTTAAGAATTTGTTCTACAGGGGCGCCTGGGTGGCTCAGTCGGTTAGGTGTCTGCCTTCGGCTCAGGTCATGATCTCAGGGTCCTGGGATCGAGCCCCAGGGAGCACCATGTTGGGCTCCCTGCTCAGTGGGGTGTCGGCTTCTCCCTCTGCCTCTGCCCCTACTCACACTCATACTCTTTCTCTCTCAAATAAATAAAATCCTTAAAAAAAAAAAAAAAGAATTTGTCCTACAGATCTAGTTCCTGTATGCAAAAAAGACCTGTCTTCGGGGATAAGGATCGTACTGGTGTTTGCATTAGCGAAAGAGCGGACCTCCTTCACGTCTCTTGGCAGGAGACTGGTAAAAATAAATGCCATCCAGGGAATGCAAAGTCATGCAGCTCATTGAGAGAATAAGGAAGTTCAGTTATGTGTCGATACAGAAAAGAATGCGCCATTAAGGGGAAAAGCATGGTATAGAAGGGTGGTCACAGCATGCTAGTATCTATTCAAAATAAGGGGGAAATACACTCCTGCAGATATGACTGAGTCCCAACAATATCTGTGGAAGAAGAATAACAGGATTGGTGTTAGTGGTCGCCTCTGGGAATGAGAAATGGGAGGCTGGGGATCAGGGGTACAAGCGAGCCTTCTTTTCACTCTTGTATACGGTTTGGATTTTTTTTTTTTCTTTCCACCATGTGCATGTTTTACCTTCTTAAAAACATTAAAAACTTTGTAAACGCTAAAAAAAAAAAAAAAAAAGACATCGTTTTTCAAATCGTGTGCTAATTCAAGATCCAGGTGCGTGGATTCTTCCTGGGACCTGCTGGATCAGAATCTGGGAAGGTAGAGCCTGGGACGGTGTGTCTTTATCATGCCCCCGCCTCGGTGGGGCGGGCGGGGGGGTTCTGATTCACCTGAAAACCTGCTGAGCTCCGTAGGCTGAGAGCTCAGCCGTCAAGGAGCAGGCTCACGGGAATCAGGATACCGGCAGTTCGTCCATGTGGCAAAGACCAGGTTGTGCGGGGTAGGGGCAAGCAAGGTCCCTGGCATTTTGGCAGCACTTAAGTATGTGGGTAAACCGTGGTCTAGTTAGATGTCAGGCGCCGGAGACTGAAGGCCCCCTTGGCCCCATCTGGAACTACTTTGCCTTGCTGTCTCTGCCCCGTTCCTGCCTTCACACTCGGTGCTGCCATCACCCAGAAGGTTCCAACCCGTTCCTCATCTGCCAGTTCTCTGCTCCAAGGTCCCTCCCTCCGGGGACATCTTCCCCAAACCCCAGCCTAGCTCAGCACTCCCTGACGTGTGCTCTCCTCACCCCGGACTTCTCCTTTGGAGCACGGGCACCGTCATGAGGTCACTAGGGAACGATTTAACAGTGGCTTTGGTCACTGCGCTGTCCCTCCACGATGCCCGGCACATGATAGGGACTCCAGGGCGGGCTGCTCACGGAGGGAATGAATGGGCCTTATGAGACGCGGGAGATGAAATCTGGGTGACAGGAGGGGGGTGCGGGGGGTGGGGGGCGGCACGAGCCGGGTCCGGGGCAGGTCGCTCCCACCCCGTAGCCCAGCGTCCGGGAGTGCCTGCTGAACGTCCGAGAAGCTGCGGCGGGACCTTGCTTCTGGGACTTGCCTGCACGGGCGTGACTCCCTGTGGCCCCACGGAATGTTGCGTGGCTTCTGTCCCGGGAGGGCCGCTGCCGGGCTCCCACCAAGCCCCAGGAATGGGTGGCCCGACACCCGAGCGCCTGGCCACAACAGGTCACCACCCAGTCGTGTGTCCGCGGCGAGAGGGAAGAGCCGGCCGGCCTACGGAGAAGTGAGTGGCTGTTTCCCCTGCAAAGGCATCAGCTGACGGCGGTTTTACCCAAACTGTACCCTTGAGCTTGGACTGAGCACATCAAGTTTCAGTGTTTACCTTGGAGCACACGACAGCCCAGTGGTTTGGACATTGATTGACCACCTTTGGGCCCGGCGAGCTGGCTGGCCAGGTGCTCAGCCTCCAGAGGATGGTCCCGGCTGGCCACCCGTCTGCCCCTTCAGCCCCGCACAGAAGACACAGACACTCCTGCCTATTAAAAGGTTTAATTTCTTCTTTATGCTCAGAAACAAAGAAGTGGCCTTGCCCCCCACCCCCCAAGAAGAGGGTCTCCTTCTCAAGAGACTTCCCTTGAAGCTGTTGGTGTGAGGTTGAACGCGGGGGTTCCTTCTCCCCAGTTTCCCTACTGTCTTTTCAGCAACCCCCTCGCAAAATTTAGGTTTGAACACAGCTTGCCACCCTCTGGGGGGTCTGGGGAGAGGCACAGCTGGAGTCCAAAGAGTAATGCCCACATTCCACCAGAGATGGGTCCAGCGCGTGTCTGGGGGCGACTGGCGAGGGAGGGAGGGGAGGAGGGGGGCCGGGGGCTGCAGAGTGGAGAGGCAGGGCCCCCCTCCCCCAGCAGCGCCCACCCCCTCCCCCTAGCAGAACTGGTCGTCATAATCTTCGTCCTTCATCCCCTTCAGCCGAAGCCGGGCGAAGTCCTCGAACACGATGTCATCGTCCGTGGCGTAGCTTGATGGTGGAGAGGGGGGGTGAGGTGCGGGCTCCAGACCCTCATCCCGGCCCCCCGCTCCCCTCCCAGACATAGCGCTGTCAAGAGCGGCATCGGGACTGGGTGCATCGGCGAGAAGGTGACGGGCAGCCTCGGGAGGAAGGCTACGCCGTCCGGCGCTTCAGCCCTCCCTTCCCCGGGGGCGGGGGCAGACTCGGGGGCTGCAGGAGTCTCTGCCCACAGAGGTCAACAGTTGAAGGTGGGGGAGGAGTCTCTTACTTGGTATCAAATTCAATGAGGTTGGTGTCCACAGGGGCGTCTGTGTCAGGAGCAGCTGAGGCGAGGAGAGGGGGTAGGTGGGTGGGTGCTGGAAGCGCCAGCATGTCTCCCCTGGCCTGGCCTCAGGCCGTCTCGTGGGGGGCTTGGGGTGGGTGCTGCGCTCACCTGTCTGGGGCCTGGGGAGGGTGATGTGGTCGTGGGGCTTGGGGTGCATAAGAACAAAAGGCAGCTCCACAGAGACGTCCCTGCGGGGGTCGGGGGGGCAGCATGAAGGGCCAACACCGCCGCACCAGGAGGAGACCCCTGTGCCCTCACGTTCCCCCGCACACTCACCCGCCACGAGACACCACCAGCTTCACCTTGACCCTGTAGGACACCAGGATGCCCAGCACCTCCTTGTTGGCGCCCTCCTTCACGCTGCAACAAGGCGGGAGCTAGACCACGGCCCACCCCTGGGGCTCCCGTGAGGTTCTGGGGGGACCACATCCCGGGGCAGTGGTCTCCAGCAGCGTAGGCTGTGCTGTTCTCACGGCCAAGCACCCCGCGGCGCCGCTCTGCACGCACCCCGCCTGTGGCTTCTCCTCTCTCGCGGTAGAGGCGGTCGTCTTTGTGACCCGACAGCCCGGCACCGTCTTGCTCTCGGCCGCCCTGACCGCACCTCGTGGCTTGTTCTGGCCGCGCCGGCCTCAGGGCCTGCTGTGTGCGCTCCGCGCGCCCCTCGGACCCAGGCACCAGCGGGGGCCCCGGCCCTGACTCCCTGAAGCTGTGGCCACCCCCCAGAGGCGCGACGGCCCCACACTTCCTCACGCGTCCTCGCAGAGACCGGGCCTGGGCCACCCCTGCGCCTGCAGAGGTCCCTCCGCCCGGAGCGCTCCTTGTGTGGCCATGTCGCCGACTTACTCTGGGTCCCTCCTCAGAACTCAGGCCCGGGGGATGCCTGTCCCCGCCGGCCTCTTTAAAGTGCACACACGCTGCCCGCCCCCGGTTCATCCCTCCCTCCTCTGCCTTGCTTCTTCTCCACGCCCGTCACTCGGCGTGCTGTGCCTTTCACTGTTGATCTGTCTGTCCTCCCTCTCTAGAATCTCTGGTCCGTTCAGGGCCCGACAGCGCCTGGGCGCCTAGGACAGAGGCTGACGCGCGGCTGGCCCGAAGGAGCGCGTGAGCCCAGGGGCTGCAGGACCCGCCACGCCCCCATCCAGCCCGCGCTCACATGGTGCTGGAGGCCAGGTTGGTGTCCTCGTGCTTGAGCTTCCCGTCCAGGGCGAGACCTCGCTTCTCCCGGTTGTCGCTGAGCAGCGGGGTGATGGTGTATACCTTGCAGAACGTGGAGCTGGGGGACACCTGGTCACTGGGGACCGGGTGGGGACAGGAGAACGGGACTCTGGGGGGCGCGGGCCAGTGAGGAGGTCGCTCCCGCCCCCAGCGGCTTCTCCCCCACCACTAGCCTGGCTCCGTTTGGGTCCCCAGGTAACAAGCCGCTCAAGAAAACGAGCGGCTCAGAGCCACCTGCCTGTGCAGGGGATGCCCTTGGAGGTGGGGATGGGTCAGGACGTTTCCATCCCCGCCTCACATTCTCCCAGGGCTGCCTCTCTGCCCTGAGGTGGGGACCCGGGCTGTTGTGTTACTCACTCTTGTTCGAGCTGAGCCACAGGACACTTGTACTGCGCAGTGCTGAAGAGGCAGATGTCCGCATACTGTCTCACTGTGGGGTGCGGTGGGGTGGGGTCAAGCAGCCGTGCTGGGAGCGCAGGCTGCCCCACCACCCCCAGGGGTTTTTGTCACATTCTGGGGTGGCCTCCCGCACTGGGGGGCGTCCCTGGGCTGAGATCACACCAGGAGCCACGTGGGCAGCAAGTCCCGCCCCCAAGACCCCCTTCTGTCCCCCACCTCCTACCAGAGACTTTGATCTTCTTGATGGTCTTGGTGGAGTTGTTGGTGACATGGACGTTGACATTGAGGGGCTCCCCGTGATAGTAGAGCTTCCGAGGGGAGGGGGTCAAGTTAACGCGATCTGTTTGCACTGGTCCCATTATTAGCGTCCCCCTCCCCCCACACAGACCGCGGCTAGGTCTTCCTCTGAACCCAAGCCCACGCCCACGCCCAGCTGAGGCGGCCTTCTTTAAAAACGCTGTCCTGGCAGGTGGCTTCAGCCCTCCCCCCAGGGTCCCTCCGCACGGGGACACCTGCGTCACCCTCCTGCACCCCACCTCCTTGTCCAGGGAAGCCTCAAGGTGCAAGGACCGGTCGGACATGAGGAAGTGGCGTGTGGTTTCTGCTGAAGGCTGGGGGCCGGGTTTCTCTGGGGCAAATTGCACCTTTCGGATCACCAGACGCACAGAGTTCCTGGGGGTGGGGAGGAGGGGTGGGAGGGGCCGGTCCTCAGACACCCGGACCCCTACCACCGCCTTCCCTGGGCCTGGGGCTCCAGGGAGTGGGGGGGGGGGATGGTCACAGCACAGGGGAGCTTGCTTCCCTCACCTTTTGTGGCTTTTCTCTTCTAGTGATTTGGCACAGAAGGCTCGAATCTCAAAGTCTACTCCACAGGCCTCAGAAGGACAAAAGGTCACATCTTACACAAGGCCCCTGACACCACCACGCCCTTCCTTCCCTCTCCCCGTTTTTTCATCAGGGACTCTTGCCCCATTGCGGTCTGCTCTGAGCAGTGTAGGGCCTGGGGCTTCATCCTCTGCCTCCCAAAGACCTAGTACCTGGCAGAGCGCTGGTCCTGTCTGCAAGGTGAGCCCCTATACTCACCCGTGAGTGCCCAGAGTCACCCGTGAACAGATAAACCATATTTCCACTGGGGGCATGTCCCATCTGGCTTCTGCCTGACAGCCCCCCTCTCAGTCAGTGTGTCCCAGGCGCCTGCTGGAGCCCATTCTGTCCCCTGAGCCCTCGGACCCATTCCCGCTGTACCTTCCCCGTGTCCTCGGGGCCTGGCTGCAGGGTGACGGAACAGGGCAGATTCTGGGGGATCTGTGGGGAGGCAAGGAGAGGCTTTAGTTCTTCCAGAGAGGCCCCATATCTTTCTCCCAATTCCCACTAAGAGGCTGGAGAAGTCCCAGGGGGTGAGAGAAGAAGAAGGAAGGGGCCCCAGGGAGGAGGCAGAGACAAGGGTGACCCCGCAGGTGGGGTGGTCTAGGGCTTCCTCCTCACTGTTGCTTCCAGATCTGCCCAGAACAGGTGCCTCAGCCCCCCTCCCCCAACTCAGTCCCAGACCCCTTGCCCTGCAGAGGGTGAGGGGCGTCCTCACTGTGAAGAAGAAGGGGTGGGCATGCCGGCCCAGCTTCCTCAACAGCCGGTCCTGCAGGCGGGTGGGGGGCCGCGGTGGGTTGGGTACGGGGGGGAAGGCCTGGTAGTTGGCGATGAACAGGTCTTTGCGGAAGGACAAGCCCAGCACATCCAGGTCCTCACGGCCATAGCGGAAGGCGCAGGTGAGGGTCACAAACACTGCGCGGGAGGGCAAGGTGGGGCAGTCAGGAGCCCCTCCGGCCCCAGCCCCCCAGTCCCCAGTAGCATCCAACCTGCCTGAACCCGACTTCCCTCTTCCATCTCGGCCCTCTGTCTCTCTGGGGTCCGTGTCAGTGCCAGCCCGCCCCACTGGGCCACCCTGACCTCCCCTGGGTGCCCCCCACACTCAGGCCAGTACCTTTGCGGTCCTTCAAGTAGTCAGGGTCCACGAGCACCACACCATCTGGGAAAGGGACACAGGAGCTCACTTCCTGTCAGGGCCTCGCCTCCATCCCTGGGCCCAGGAACCTCTCCCCATCTTGGGGGCCCCAGCGGTACTTTCTGGGCACACTTACCTACGGGGTCCACTTTGTCCAGGTGGTCTACAAAGTCCCGCTTGCCCAAGTACACGGTGAGCTGAGGATACGGAAGGGGCACATGGAAGATGGGGCAGGAGGGTGCGGGGCATCAGAGCCCTTCAGAGTGATCGTCCCGCCCCTGGTCTTTCCCAGGCTGGGGTAGCCCCGGGGTTCCTCCCAGCAGGGTTAGAAGGGGAGAGTGGTGGGGTTTCCCAGATTACCCACCCTTGAAGCTTTTCGCACCTCTGCCCACAAGTCAGGCAAGTGTGTGTGTGAGTGTCTGTGAGGTGCGGTGGGGTGGTGGTGGTGGTGGTGGGGAGTGGGCTTGGGGAGGACTCGCGCCCCCCCGCCCCCAGCCAGTTAGAGAACAGGGTGTGGTCTCACTGGCTCCCCTCAAGGGGCTCTGGGACACACAGGCCATATCCTGGGGGCTGCTGACTGTTCCCAGCCCAGGAACCCTGGGCTGGCTCCCAAGAGGGGTATAGCCGAGGGCTTCTGGCTCCTCCCCCTTCGTCTTGCCAAGGGACCTGGACCTGTCCCCACCCAGCCCTCGTGTCTGGCTCAGGTTGAGCGGCCTTTGCGGCAAGGGGCTTCAGGAGGGAAGGAAGTCGGCTCTTAGCTGTCACAGGAAGTGGGGAGCTAGGGGTTGGGGATCGGCTAGGGGCAGGCTGGGCCTTGCAGGGGCACAAGAGGGCTGGGAGGAGAAGCAGCATGGGAGACTCACCTTGCAGTTAGGGCTCGACTTCTTGAAGACCCTAACAAGACAGAAAGGGAAACCCCACTCCCTCAGACCCGGCAGCAGGGACCCCCCACACCAGCCCGAGAAACAGAGCTCACCCGGGACTCTGCCTGCAGGCTCTGGGGCTTTGCCAACTCTACCCCTCCCATTTCTTCCCAGAAGGAGGGCAACCACAGGTCCTTGATATTCCCAACACAGCGGTGGTGCCCCCCCCCCACCTTCCACCCTCACTAGGTCCCCTCCTCCTGTGGCAATGGCCCCTGGTTGCCACAGGAAACACCCAGGCTCTTTCCAGAGCACTTGCCCTAGGGGGGGTCCGAATGGGCAGGTTGTAGGAGCCTCTGTCTAAGACCGAACCCTCTCTCCATCGTCTCTCATCTCCAGCTCCAAAGACAGCTGGAGTACCCAGAAGGGCAATGGCCCTGGCTTTGGCCCCTAAAATGGTTTCTACTTATAGGCACTACTTAAGCGTGACCCGACTCCATGAACCTCCAACTGTCCCCATCCCTGATCTCAGCAGCCTCAAAGCCTATTTGTCTTTGAAGGCCAAGTTCAGATATCACCACCTTTAGAAAGCAGATCCAGCCCGGACCCTGGTTACTCTTTTTTTGGGGGGGGGGGTTCCTGTCACACTAGCTTATGTTTTACTGGTGGTGTGATGGCATGCACAGGCTGTGAGCTGTATTCAGTTAGGCTCCCCCAGCACAATGCCAGCCCTACGAGAGAGACGATCATGCTGGCTGATATTTGTCGGGAGAACGCTCCACGCTCAGCACTGTTTCAAGGGTTTCGTGTGTGTTATCTCACTTAATACTCTTAGCGACCCAGTATTGCTAATTTACAGGTGAGGGAACCGAGGCACGGGAGACTGAAGGATTTAGCCTAAGGCCCCAGAGGGTGTAACTGGTGGGACTCAGATGAACAGAGGCAGTCTGGCTCTGAGCCCATGCTCTACATCACTAAACTGTTAGACTCTCCTGTCTCTGCAATTGGCATGAAATTTGTTGAATCGCAGGGGATTCGCTCCCCTGAGCTGAGACAATCTAAGCCTGGACTCTACCCACTGCTGAGAGCATTAAGTAGGTGTCTGGTGATTCCTATGCTCTGGTCGCTTGCAGGTCTGACCTTCCTCATCCCAGTCCACTCTGCCTCAGCAGCGATCCCTGGGAAAAGTCCTCGGCTAGTAGAAACTGAAGTCCTGCCGACTGACCCATCCTTCCTCCAGCACCCCCCGCCCCCCAGTTTTCTCTAACAACTTCACTTGCCACTTCTTCCTAGAAGGTCAGACTGTCCAAAGGCCATGAGACAAAGGGTATGGTGGCCCCCGGGTATCCCCATCCAGTAAAGGAGAGTAGACACTGGTATGGTGGTAGCTAGAATAAGCACCCAACCTGGGGGCGGACAGCTATGGCATCATCCAGCTTCCTTTCCCCTTTGCTTCTAGTTTTCCTCTTTGTCCCAGGATTGCCTCCTATTAGGGAGAAAGCCACCAGACTGTGGTTTTGGGGTAATGGCCCTGGAGCACCTGTAGGACCACCTGCCCTTGGGAGGCGACGCTAAGGAGCAAGGTACGCTTGCTTGTACGCTGAGGCTAGCCAAGGAGGCAGAGTGTGGGGGTGCCTGGAGATGCCCAGTGAGGGGGCCAGCGACAGCACATGTTCTCTCCATTTCCTGTGGCCCAGAATTAGATGGGGGTGGCGGGAATTGTGCCAAGTCAGCAGCCCCCCTCTGGTGCATCCATCCTCCTCCCTGAACCACAGAACGGAAACTGGGGGCCTCCCTAGAGTCAGCGACTTCCCCTTTCTCTGGGGGTGTTTAAGCCCTAATCCAGGACACCAGTCCTCCCTCTGATCATCTCTCTGATATGACTCGACTTGGTGCTCAGAAGCCTGGGCTCTCCTCCTCTGTGGGTGGGGAGCGGTGGGGCTGAAATGATAATGTTTTGCAGCACAAGTGGTGTCTCGGGACCAGGGCCCCATTCCTGACCTTTCTGGATAGAGGCATACCGCCCCAATCTTTTCCTCTTTTGCTCCTGCTCCCCAGGGACTCGGGCATTCACCCACTATCCCCTTGGGGGTGTTGGCCCACAACAGGAAGTGGATTTTGCTAGAGACCAAAAAAGAGAACTCGGGGTATCAGTGGAAGGAAGGAGCCTCGACTGCACAGAAAACATCCGGGGAGTGGATGGCGTGCCCAGGGCAGATACTGCCTCCCCTCACCTCTGGGAAGAGGGGTAAGGCCCAGAAGCGGGGAGGGTCGTCACGCACTCTGCTCCCCCAAGATGAGGCCGTTGCTCCTAGCAACCTGGGGGAAGGCAGAAGTTTGGAAGCAGAGCCACCTGGCCCTTGGGACAGCCCGACTGCCTGTTGGGTACTGGACAGGAGGCTCTCCAGCAGCTCGGCACGAGTCTGGGGCGGGGGGGGCGGAGAGAATCCCCTCCCGGCATCCAGCCTTCCCATACCCGACCCCTCGGGGCCGGCCACCTGCGCCTCCTTCCTCCGCCCCTGCATCGCAGCCTGCACCGGAGAACCAGTCGTCCGGCCCCCACATCCCTGCGAGAACCCAGACGCCGGTTTCCTGATCCCCTTCAGCCCTCGCTTTCTGCAAGGGCCCTGGCATGCGTCCCCCTCATTATCCTCGAGGACCTAGGCGTGCGGCCCCAGATGGCTGGCCCCTAGGGACCCAGGCGTCCGGCCCCCGGGTTCTTTCCCCGGTGTCCTTGTCCCGGGACCGTCCCGGCACCAGCCCAGAGCCGCCGCCCACGTCCCGCCGCGTGGCCCCACCTCCCTTACCTGGTGCCCGGTTTCTCCCCCATGGTGCGCGCGCCCGCCGCCCGCCGCCCGCCCGGTTCGCGGCTCGCTCGCAGCCTCCCAGCCTGCTGCCAGGTCCCTGCTCCTCCCCGCGCCACTGCGCACGCGCGCCCTCCGCTCTTTCTCGAGCTCTCCCCCGCCCCTCCGGCCCCCCTGCGATCCTAGGGAACCGGGGCCAGATGCGTCAGCCCGGACCGCGCGCGCCGCGGCGCCGCCCGCCCTCTCGGCGCAGACACGCGCGGTGATTGGCTCCGCCCCCGCGCCCGCCCCCCCGCGGCCCCGCCCCGCCGCTCCCGAGGGGGTCCCTCCGGCGCGCGCAGTCCCCTGTCCCCGCTCTGCCCGCCCCTCTCTCCGCCCCTCCGCACCCCCGTAGGAACCGATTGGGCCCCCCGGAACGAAGGCGCCCGCCTGCCGGGAGGTGAGAGCCCCGTGATTGGCTCCCCGCGCCCAGGACGCCGCGGGGGTCCCCTCCCCTTTGTTTGCTTTCTCAGTGGCGGCGGAGGCGAGGGAGGCGGTGGGGGCGGAGGAAGGAGCTCCGGCACAGTCTGGGAAGAAGGATGAGGGGAGGCACACGTGGGTGAGCGGCTCCAGTTGCGTGATGCTGTGCTTCAGGGCGCGCCGCTCCCCCCAGTACTCGCAGCCTTCTTTGGCCGGCCCTCCCGCCTCTTTATTGTGGTGTGTCAGCTCCCTCTGGTGTCTTTCATCTTCCACAGGGTTACTGTGCCTGGTTTCTCGGACTACCCATCCCTTCCATCTACTCTCATCACAGCCAGCATCCATCCGTGTATCCATCCAAGCATCCATGCCTGCATCCATGCATCCGTCCATCCATCCATGCATGCATCCATCCATCCGTCCATGCATGCATCCATCCATCCATGCATGCATTCATGCGTGCATCCATCCACGCAGGCATCCATGCATCCATGCGTGCATCCATCCATGCATCCATCCATGCATCCATGCCTATTTCGTGCCAGTCACTGTGCTGGGCAATGGATTCACATGGCCCCTGCTTTCCTAGCACAGTTCAGGAGACACAGAAACAGGTATTATGATCCCAAGAATACTATAATGGAGGTATGACTCAGAAGACAAAGCGACTACTGGCGCTTGACTGGGGCAGGGATGGAGGGAGGGGACGCTGTCCAGAGGAGGAGACATTTGAGGACAATCTTTCTGAAGGGTGGGCAGATGTTGAGAAGGGGTGTTGCAAAGACAAATAAAGGCAAGGTACGTCCTCTGCTGAAGAAGTGTTCGTGGGGTTCCACCGCAGGAGAGATGAGGTGGAGGAGGAGGAGGAGGCCTGGAACAGAGCGTGAAGGATTCTGTACAGCAGGTGAAAGAACAGGACAGAGCTCTTCCCTGGAGGAGGATGCTCGGATCCAAGACTGGCTTTTTTAAGCGGAAGACTAGCACGATGAGATTTCTCCTTCAGGAGGATAATTCTGGGCAATGTGGAGGGTGGAGAGAGTGGGCCAAGGTTGTCTGGACTAAAACTAGTCAAGAGGAGAAGAGAGGCCAGGCAGGAGAGCTATTCTAGGGCAAAATAGACTGGACCGGGGGCAGGATGATGGGGGCCTGACATTTCAAGATTTAAGGAGCTAATGTATTTCTCCTTCTTCCATGTCTTTTCCCAATCTCCCCCCGTCTTTCCCACCCAAATGAACTACCTTCACACTTCTGCCTCCGCTTTTCCACGCAACAGAAAGTAATATGCACAACAAGATAGTTTCTGAGGTCATCTTTAAGGTCCAAACATAGGAAATAAGACGAAATCAGGGAGGGAGACAAACCATAGGAGACTCTTAGCTATAGGGAACAAACTGAGGGTTGCTGGAGGGGGTGGGGGGGGAGGGCTGGGGTAACTGGGGGGGGGCATGAAGGAGGGCATGTGATGGCATGAGCACTGGGTGTTATATGCAACTGACGAATCACTGAGCTCTACCTCTGAAATTAATTATACACTATATATTATCTGATTGAATTTAAAGAAAATAAGTTATTAAGAAAAAGGTTCAAACATAGGCCCTCAGTTCTGTCACCACCTTCTAAGCTCACCCTTCATCCCTTTCAAGCTTTAGATCACACATTTCTTTTAGACTCATGAATCACTTTAGTCGAAGAGTCATGACCAGAAGGTAATGAGATCCATATTGCTACACATCTAAAGTGATTTTGGGGGACACCTGGCTGGCTCAGTCGGTTGAGCATCTGCCTTCGGCTCAGGTCGTGGTCCCAGGGTCCTGGGATCGAGCCCCACATCGGGCTCCCTGCTCGGCTTCTCCCTCTCCTTCTGCTGCTCCCCCTTCTTGTGTTCTCTCGCTTTCTGGCAAATAAATAAATAAAATCTTTTAAAAAAATGATTTTGGGACTGAAAGGTAGTGGTCTGCATGGCATGAAATCTACTCTATTAAAAAGTACTGATATAAAGAAAAATTTAGAAGGATGCTAAAGAAGGCTAGAAAGAATGGAAGAGATGCACCATATATGGGTGGGAAAACCCATCGTTATAAAGCCGTCATTTCTCTGCAAATGGTGTATAAATTTAACACCATATCAAAATAGCAATGGGAGGCTGATCCAAAGGTAGTGAGTTATCTCAGATGATGGTTCCCAGTTACAGATCGAACTCCTTGTTTCATTCTTCCCCTCCCCCTCCTCACTACTGCACTTGACTAGTCTTTAGAAGTAAATGGATGACAATGGGACTTTTTTGGGGGGAACCTGATTCCGAACAATCGGAAGAATCAACTCACAAGTTTAGCCAGGATAATTCTGAAATAAGAGTAAAGCAGGCGTGTGTCTTACCTGATAATTTATTAACTTATAATAATTAAAATTGTGTTATTGGTAAAAAAAATAAATAAAATTGTGTTATTGGTGCAATAATACGAAACAGAGCAATGAAAGAGGACATGGGATCCAGATACAGACTCACATGGTAGCATTTCAAGTCAATGGAGAAAGAATGACATAGTCACTACACTGGGTTGAGACAGTTGGCTATTCATTTGGGAGAAAAAAAGTGATAGCTCTCCATCTCACACCTTAAAATAAATTCCGGATGGCTTAAAGATCTAAATGCATGGAATTAAAACTATGAAAGTATTAGGAGAAAAACAGGAAAATATTTTTATAACCTTGGAGGTTAGGAAAAGCCTCGTAAGATATCAAACCCCAGGGCTATAAATAATACCACCTAACACTTTATAGTATTTACCACACGCCAGACATTGTTCCAAGCACTTTACAAATATCAATTCATTTAATACAGCTCTATGCATTAAGGTTTTATAATTATCCCCACTTTACAAATGAGGAAGTGAAGGCACAGTTAAGTAACTTGCAGGCTCATACAACTAGCAAGAGGCAAAGCTGGTGTCCAAACCCAGCAGTCTAGTTCAGAGTCCATGGCCTTTATCAAAACACCTTACCTCAAGAAGACTAAGAGATTAAAATAAATGAAATGACAAATTGGAAGAAGCCTCTTGCACCCCTGCAACACATAACAATGAAGAATAACTCCCCACATCTACGAAGAGTTCCTACCCACTAATAAACCTAGTATTGGGATTTTGCCTAAAGCACTATTTCATATGATGGGCAGGGGTGTTAAGGCAACCTTTCTAGAAGGCATTTTGCCAGTTCCGGTCAAAATTAAAAGTAGGCTTTTTCTTTTATCCAACTCTCACTTATTCACTCAACAATTATTTGTTGAGCCCTTTTTATGTGCCAGGCACTATTCTAGGTGATAAGACTAACATAGTGAGGTAGAGAAGACCCCTCTCATGTATTTTATTTCTATTTTTATTTTTTAAAGATTTTATTTATTCATCTGAGACACAGAGATACAGAGAGAGGGAGCATGAGCCGGGGGAGGGGCAGAGAGAGAGAGAGAAGGAGAAGCAGGCTTCCCGTGGAGCAGAGAGCCGGACGCGGGGCTCGATCCCAGGACCCCGGGACCATGACCTGAGCCGAAGGCAGACGCGTAACGACTGAGCCACCCAGGCGCCCCTCAAATGAATAAAATCTTTAAAAAAAAGAAAGAAAGAAAGAAAGAAATACATTTGAGATAATGTTATGAGTTATTTAAAAGAAAATTAGCAGGGTGATGTGGTAAAGGATGAAGGGGTTTGGAGTGGGAGCTACTTAAAAAAGAAGCCCTCTTTGAGGATGGCAAGACGGTATCAGAGATTGAAAGAAAAATTTCTCCACGCAGAAGCAGCAGCATGTGGTGGGAGTGGGCTTGCTGGAGGGTAGAAAGGCCAGTTTGGCTCAAGGATAGGAAAAGACAGGGAAACTGAGGGTACCTGTGGTATGTGTGGTGGTCGGAGAGGTGGGTATGCGTCAGATCACATGGATTGTAGGAGCCATTCACCTATTTGGAAGCCACTGAAGGGCTTTAAGCAGAGGGTGACAAGATCTGACTTAACACTTGAAAAAGACCACTCTGGTTGCTTTGCGGAGAACGGACCACGCAGGGCCAAGAGGGAAGCCACGAAGAGGTCTTTGTAAGAGGCCACATGAGAATGGTGGGGGGGGACCAGAGGGTGCCCGGAGGTGGAGAAACAAGAGAAAAAACCAGCCGTACGGGGTTAATGAATTGGACTTGAAGACGGATTAGACAGAGGGGCAGGAAGAGAGGAATAAAGGTGACCCTTAGCCTTGACTTTCTTTCAAAGTATTAGATTATCCTCGTGCACGAAAAGCACGCAAAGAGAGAAGTATTCGAGTGTTCAGTGTATGAGGGAGAAAGTGGAGCGGCTGCAAGTATGCAGCAAGAGAATTAAATCATGGCGCACCCATTTCACTGTAGCCTGCAGCTTGGAAAAGCAGCGTAAAGCGGCCACGAGGGACACATCGTGGGACAGGCCGAAGGCAGCCGCTGCTCCTGCAAGACGGACTTCGTGTTTGCGTGTCCGTGCACGGAGCGGTGTCAGAAAGCGGGCACTGCCCTGGGCGGGGGGTTCGGGGAGAGGCCGGGTGCTCTTGGAACTTGTTTCCGCAGGGCGCGCGGACGGCGGCCTGTCCGTAGCCGTCACTGCACACACGTCCCCGCGCCACGGCGCGAAGCTGGCTCCTCCGACAGCTGCCGCACCGACCGCCATGCGTCCCGAGCCCCGGCCGGCCCGGCCCACCCCAGCCCCGGGGCCGCCCGCGCCTTTTGTCCGGCCCACGTGGCCCGCCCGCGCATGCTCCCTCGCGCGCGGCGCGCAGAGCCCCACCCCCGGCCGCCCAGTGCGCAGGGCCGCGGCCCCCTCCTCACGCCCCCTCCCCACCAGGCGCCCGTCGCGGTGCGTTTGCGTCATCGCGCCACGCCACCACCGGAGCCCGGGCGAAGATGGCGGCAGCCGTTCTGAGCGGGCCCTCGGCGGGCTCCGCGGCCGGGGTGCCCGGCGGGACCGGGGGTCTCTCGGCGGTGGGCTCGGGCCCGCGTCTCCGCCTGCTGCTGCTAGAGAGCGTGTCCGGGTTGCTGCAGCCGCGCGCGGGGAGCGCCGTGGCGCCTGTGCATCCCCCGGTGCGCTCGGCCCCGCACTTGCCCGGGCTCATGTGCCTCCTGCGGCTGCATGGGACGGTGGGCGGGGCCCAGGTGAGTGCGGCCCGCGCGCCCGCGGCCCTGCTGGGGAGCTGGCGCCGCTGCGGGGGCGCGGGGGGCGCGGAGCCTCGCCGATGTGGCGGGCTGGGAGGGCTGGGAGCGCCTCTGCCGGAGCCCGTGTTAGTCTGGGCGACGTTCACGCCGGCGGCGGAAACTCCGGGGAGACAGGAAGGGCCTCACTGCTCCACCGTTGGGCTGTTGGTGGTCGCTCGGGAGCGTGCTTCCGATTCCAGGCCCCGCCACCCAAAGGATGCACCGTCTCCCCCTCCCCCTTGCGTGTCTGGTTTTGGGACGGTTTGGACTGAGGGAATGGATGGAGACAACTGACCGCGCTCTTACTGAGGCTGAGCCCCGGGCGCTCCACTCAGATGCAATGGCGGTGAACACAGTGTCTTGAAACACTGAGAATCGTGTAGTAGACCTCTAACCTGACCTGGAGGATTGCAGAGATTTCCTGGGGCACTGGAGTTTAGGCTGAGACCCCCACCTCCCCGGATGGGTAGAGGGTTGGCTAGGGAAAGAGAATGGGAAAGTCCTGTGGTAGGAAGGAAGTGAAAAGAAGGGCATCGTGTGTGGGGCTCAGAGGTGGTGGGGAAGAGAGTGGGCACGGGGGGGTGGGCAACGCAGAGATCAGGCAGAGCTTTGTAGACTGGCTTGGAAGGGGTCCTTAGGATTATATACTAACATCCCTTCAGTTTCGCAAACTAGAAACCAGATGTCATCCTAAACACGTTCTTACTCCCATATCTCTCTCATATGCAGTCCTGTTGATTTTATTATCTTTTTTTTTTAAGATCTTACTGATTTATTTGACAGAGAGAGACACGGCGAGAGAGGGAACACAAGAAGGGGGAGTGGGAAAGAGAGAAACAGGCTTCCTGCCGAGCAGAGAGCCTGATGCGGGGCTGGATTCCAGGACCCTGGGATCATGACCTGAGCCGAAGGCAGATGCTTAACGCCTGAGCCACCGAGGCGCCCCTCGTTTTATTATCTAAGTAGCTTTCAGAGCTGTCCACTCCTTTCCATATCCTTCCCATTGCCCTGGTCCTAGCTTGAACCGTGTGTCCTCTCGCCCAGGTGAGAGCACTGATTGTAAGAAGGCATAGGGTGTCCGACATGTCTGAGGGTAGGTGCTCCTTTAATAGCCCCTGCCCTCCGTCCTCTCCTAGGCCCCCCCCCAAATTTTACCCACCCCTCAAGATCCATATACATGAGGTCTTCTTTGTCCAGTCTTTGTTACGGGGACCTTCCCAGCGCTATGCTTCCTTCCAGAGAGAGGGTTGTCACAACCTTGGGTGGTTCTCTGAGCTTAGCCCCAGACTCGTCAGGGACGGTCTTATCGCTGATACTGACATTACTCCTCACTGTTGAGGGTGCCAGGTCCGTACCTCTGCTGTCTCAGCCCACTTTGGGAAGTGGGAACTGAGTACACGTTTTCTCAATCTCCGTCTTCTAATTCATGTGGGGTTAAGTATTTCTGAAATACTGTCTCTTCTGCTTGTACGCGTGTGGCTTCTTTCATCGTCCCAAGCTTTCCCCGCCCCCCTCAAGGCAAGCTCATGAACTCAACATCTTACTTGTTTCCCGCAAGTGTCTAAAGCCTAGTAGAATATTGAGCAAAGCTGAAGGTGATGTGGGAACCTAGACTCCCCCTTTAATATTGCCTGTCCCACAATTTTGGGCATATCCTGCCTCTTTTCTTGCTAATGTCTCTCGTATTGGATCCTCGGTTCACAGGGTTTGAGGTGCTGCCGCCTGGAGGGTTTGCTTTGCTTCCCCATACGTTTTCATTCAAACACTACTGAGTACCTGTTAAGCGTTAACTATTGCTTCTTGTTTCTGGGTAGACACATAGGCATAGTCTTTTACCTTGGAGAATTTCTTGTCTAATTGAGATGAGAAATAAAGTAACTCAATAGGCTCAGAGCTTATTGGATAGGCAGAGATCCATTGATTGGGCCATCTGTTTAGGCTGAATCACAACTTGCTTTCCTATAGGTACTGTGAACTCAGTAGTTGCACAGTGAGACGGGATCTGTTCACAGTTTCTGGTGTGGCTTATAGCAAGTCTCCTGACTTGTCTCCTTGCCTCAGTCTTGTGGCATTTCATCCATTTCTCGCACGGCAGCGGGAGTGAGCTTCCTCAAGTAAAATTCTGATCCCGTTTGCCGTGTTTTAAAATCCTTCACTAGCTGGGCTTTCCTGGCTTCGGGCGTTTGCACTTAACTGTTGTCTGCTTGGGGTCCCTCCCTGTGCTGCTTCCCTGCTCCCCAGAAAAATCCTTTCAGTTCTGTGCTTTTCACTGCCTTTGGGAAACCTTAGCTGTCTTTCCGACAATGTATTGAAATGATGTGTTTATTCGTTTCATGTGTATGTACAACCTTCTTCTTTCACACCAAACAGCTAGGCCTTGATTTGCTTTATTTTTATGTGTAATTAAAGAAGATGGAACTTAATTCAGATTACACAAATGTAGAGAAAATAGTATTTTGAGGGACGCCTGGGTGACTCAGTCAGTGAAGTGTCTGCCTTCAGCCCAGGTCATGATCCCGGGGTCCTGGGATCGAGTCCCCCATCGGGCTCCCTGCTCCACAGGAAGTCTGCTTCTCCCTCTGCCTGCCGCTCCCCCTGCTTGTGCTCTCTCTCTCTCCCTCTGTCAAATAAATAAATAAAATCTTTTAAAAAAATTAATATTTTAAACCATCCCACCCTATGCTTTCCCCGTCACCCAAATTTAACAACGTCTTACCAACATGGTTTCATGCCCATCCTCCCAACTCTACCCCGCTCCCCCAGCATTTTAAAGTAAATCTCACATCTCATTTCCTCTATACTGCATGTTCTTAGAAGGATGGAATGTCTTATTCTGCCTTTATCCCCAGGGCTTTGTCCTGTTCCATTCCCCAGTCAGTAGCCAGTGATCTGTTTAAAAATATCAATAAAAGGGGCGCTGACTGGCTCAGTCCATAGAGCACGCAACTCTTGATCTCCGGGTTGTTAGTTCAAGCCCCATGTTGGGCATGGAGCCTACTTTAAAAAACATTTATTCATATCAACAGGATGACAACATTCTGTTGCTCAGAACCACACAGTCATTTATCGTTGCATGAGGCCCTGCCTCGTGTGTCCTCTGCTAACCTCCTGACCTCATCTTGTACAGCTTCTGGACCGTACCCCAGCTGCCCAGGCTGACCCCGTTTCTAGAGTATGCTGAGGCCATTGCTCACCAGCTCCTTGGCTCTTTGCTGGGAAACTTGGGAAACTCATGGGAGGGTGAACTCAAACTTAAGTCTCCGCCTCTGTGCTCCTGTTCACCGGAGTCTTTCCTGACCACCCCGTCCGAGTCTGTCCCATTCTGGGCATTCTCTGCCACACTGTCCTATTGTTTTCTTCCTAGCATTTATCAGCATTTGAAAGTTAACCTGTTTATTATCTGTCATGTTCTCTCTTCCCTTCTTACCCAGTTGAAATTCCATTATAATCCCTGTGCTGCCCCTCTCCCTTGGTTGTACGTGCCTGGCAGTACCACGGCTGTGGTGAATTTACTGTGGCTGCAGAAGAACCGGTGTCCTTGCGGACTGGTCTCACTTAGCAGGCGCGGCCATCATCACCTCCAGTGGACCCTAGTGTTGCCCAGCAATCCTGCCACATTTCCGCTTTCCTAGACAACTTCTCACTCCTTCTCTGCACCCTCCCTCTTAGTTGATGACTTGCTTCCCGTTGCACCGAGAAGGTGGAGGCAGTCGGGTGGGCACTCCCGTGGGTTATCTGCCGGCCTCCCTGCATCTGTGTCCATATGCTCTGCCTTCCCTCCCACGGCGAGGGGTGAGCCGCTCCATGCCCCTGTCTCAGGCCAGCCCTCTGGTTGTGCATGAGATCTAGCCCCTGTCCCCCCACTTCATCAGATCGTCCCTCTGTCGGAGCATTTCGTCAGCGTACCGCTCAGAGCTGCTTTAAACACCCCTCTCCCCACACCCCCAACCCCGCCGTCTCCTGCCCCATTTCTCTTCATGGCCAGACTCCTCAAAAGAATTATTTGTACTTGCTGTCTCCGATTCTCCCATTCTTCTTCTTTTTTTTCTTTTAATAACATTGCTTTGAAATGACAAAGTTTGTGGAAAATTTGAAAGAATAATTGAAAGAATTCCTGTATACCCTTCACCCAGATGCCCCAAATGTCAACATCTTATTTTATTTATTTTTTAAAGATTTATTTATGTATTTTAGAGGGTGAGGGAGGTGCAGAGGGAATGCAGAGCCTGATGACATCATGGCCCTGAGATCATGACCTGAGCTGAAACCCAGAGTCAATCACTTAACCAACTGAGCCACCCGGGGTGCTCCAAATGTCAACATTTTATTTATTTATTTATTTATTTATTTGAGAGAGAAAGAACAGAGGGAGTGGGAGAGGGAGAAGCAGGCTCCCCGCTGAGCAGGGAGCCCGATGCGGGGCTCGATCCCAGGACCCCGGGATCATGACCCGAGCCGAAGGCAGTCCAACCAACTGAGCCACCCAGGCACCCCAGAGCATGACATTTCTGAAGAGTTAGAGGAAATTATTTTTTAGGCTGTCCCTAAGTACGGGCTCGGCAGTTTCCTGGGGGTTGACGCAGGTTGTATTTTTGGCAGGAAACTGCAGCTGGATGTTGTTTTTGGTGCATCATAGCGCGGGTGGGGGTGTGTGTGTGGCACACACGGTGTTCTCTGTCCAGTTACTGGTGGTGTCGTCTTCAGTCACTGGGTTAAGGTGGCATTTGCCAGGTTTCTTCGCTGTGAAGTCGTGGTTTTTCTTTCTGTAAGAAGTGTCCTGTGGGGAGAGTATAGCAATGTCTTGTGTCTTGTCAACCTTCCACTCTCGTGTTTTATCCGTGAAAGATTCTGCCCTGAACGAATCATTCCCACAGTGGCCGTCCCCTAGAACTTCTTCCGTTGAGGCTCCCAGCCTAACCTTTTGCTGAATCACCCCTTTACCCGGTCACGTGGCAGTTCTCGAACACCGCCCGTGACCACCAGGGTCTGCAGCATTTCCTACAGTTGGTCCCTCCTTCTTTCTTGAAACTTCTCTCAGCTTCTGGGACGCCACTGTCCTGATTCTCCGGTCACCGTTCTCGTCCGTCCTTCCCTCCGGCCTCTGAGTGTTTGTCCAAGAACCCCGTGCTCCTACCGCTTTCCTCTCTTTCACGCTCTCCCTGGGTGAGCTGACCCTGTCCGCGGCCAACAAAGTTCCATATTCATGCTCCAACCAAGATCGCTCCTCATCCAGCCCTGCCCGCCATGCGCCTGTTTGGCACATCCGAGCTGATGTCAGGTGGGTGTCCCAGATTCCTCGTATCTGAGCCCGGACTTCCGATTCTCCCCCACAGCCTGTGCCTCCTGCAGAATCCCCCTTTTAGGAACCCACCACTCCATCTGCCCAGTTGCTCAAGCTAAAAATCTTGAAATCGTTTTTGCCTCTTCTCTGTATTCCCCCATGTCCAGTTTGTTACCCCATCCTGTTGGTTCTACCTTCAGAAGAGATCCAGAGTTTGACACTCCGTGTCCCCAGCATCACTGCGCTGGTTAAGAGGTGTCACTTCTCCCCTGGATCTTCACCACAGCCACCTCCTGTCTGCATCCGCCTCCCAGCAAGCGACTCAAGCGTTGTGGATGTATTTTTAAAAAATACATTTAGGTTAGATAATATCATTGTGCACCCACCCCCCCACTGTGGCCTTTATCTTATTCAGAGTACAGATCCCCCATTGCCTGCACGACCCTGAGACCTCTGCCCTGCCCCCGGGACTTTCCACTCTGATGACATCTGCCTCTTGCTTGCTCTTCCCTCGCCGCAGTTCGCCTCCTTGCTCTTCTGTAGCTTACTTGCGGAGTAGTGCAACCATCACCATGATCAATTTCATTTATTCATTTTTATTATTACTTTTACAGATTTTATTTTTTAAGTAATCTCTAGACCCCACGTGGGGCTTGAACTCACAGCCCCGAGATCAAGGGTCGAGTGCTTCCCGCCTGCGCCCGCCGGGCACGCGCCCACCCTGATCGGGTTTAGAACATGTCATCCGTCCAGAAGGAAGCCCTGTGCCCCTTGGGGGTCACTGCCCATTTCCCTGCAGCCACTGTCTACTTTTTGTCTGTGGATGTGGCTACCTTGACCGTTTTGTATAAATAAATTCTACAACATGTGGCTTTTGGGTCTGGCGTCTTTCACGTAGCGTCATGTTTTTAATGTTTATCCGTGTCTCAGAACTTATTTTTTTTTTGTTTTTTTTAATGGCCACATACTCTTCTGTCGTGGATACGCCACATTCCGTCGTTAATTCGCCACTTGGTGGGCCCTTGGATTTTTTCTACTTTTTGGCTGTTGGGGATGATGCTGTGAGCTTCTTGTGCGAGTTCTCGTGAGAACTAGGTTCTCTGTTCTCTTGGGCGTGTCCCCGGGCGTGGAAGTGCTGGGTCATGTGCTGTGTGACCTTCGGAGTAGCTGCCAGAATGTTCCAAAGTGGCCGCACCATCTTACGATCCCATCAGCAGGGTGTGTGGACAGGAGTGCGTCTTGCTTTCACTTTGCTCAAATGGCGTCTTTAGAGAGGGTTTCTGTGCCTGCTCCACGTGGAACACGATCTCTCTCCCCTACGCCAGGCACTCGCTCCTTGCACTCCTTCCCGAGTCTGCTTTATTCCGCCCCACGGCACTTAGTGCATCCAACACACTGTTTCGTGTTTGGTCGTTTGTTTATTTTCTGCCTCCTCTACCTAGAATACAAGCTCCCCAGCACCTACAACAATGTCCCACATGAAGTCGACGTTGAATAAACACTGAATAAGTGAATAAACATTACCCTTCATGACATGAGCGACCTTGTTTATTTTGTCCAGCTCTGGATTCCTTCATCTGACCCCATGCATAACGTGTTTGTCGGGAGAATGAGTGATGAGCACGGTTAGGGAGGTCCAGGGGCCACGAGAGGAGCGTGGCCTTTCAGGGGGAGGGCTGAGGAGGAAACCTGTCTCAGGGCCCCCGGAATGTGAGGGAAGGAGGCTCTGGCTGCCTGGGTCTGTGCTGGCATTGGCTAACGGCTTTCAGGGAGCTGGGAACGGGACGAGGGAGGTTTGGGGGGTGAAGGAAGAGGGTAACAGATGAGGTGCATCCAGCAAGCGTGTGTGGGATCTGCTCTGCGCTGGGTGCTGTCCAGGGACACTGAGCTGAGGGAGGCGCGTCGCTGGGATGAGTTGGGCTGTCCTCTGCGGGGCACTAACCTGCTGGGTGGGAGGTGGGAGAAGGGGTGAGGCAGGACGGGCCTGGAGGAAGGCCCGAGGCACAGGCTTCTGTGTGTCAGCTGCTGAAAATGGGGCCTCGGGCCTCAGAGGAGGTACGACGTCAGGAGCGGCTTCGTAGGTGAGGGCACGGAAGGGCCCAGAGAAGCGCTCCCCCGTCGTCAGCAGCGTCCTAATCCTGACTCGCTTCCCTGTTTGCTCCCCCAGAACCTGTCAGCCGTCGGGGCGTTGGTGGGTCTCAGTAACGCACGGCTCGGTTCCATCAAAACCCGGTGAGTCTTTAAGCCTCTTTTTTCTCCAGGGGGTGTTTCCTTAAGAAGCGGGCTGTCCATCTGTCTGTCCCTCCATTGTCACCACCCTGTGGACTCAAAGAGACTTCTCCGTTGAGAGGGTGGAGCGTTTCCTTCTTTCCCTGGGCCCCCTGGGGTGAGCCCTGCCTGTCCCGGCCCCTGGCTTGTCCCACCTGGGATCAGCTCTGGTCCTTGCTTCCTTGCTGCCCATACCTCACCCCGAGCCCTCCAGGCATTTCGGGAGTTAGAAAGCACCGAGGGTCTGGAGGTGGCGTCTGCTCCGGTCTCATGAGTGTCCCAGCGCGGTGACCAGCGTTCTCAGGAGTGTGGCAGCCGCTGCGGATTGTCACTGGCTACTTCCTTGTCAGGTTTGAGGGCCTGTGTCTGCTGTCCCTGCTGGTGGGGGAGAGCCCCACGGAGATGTTCCAGCAGCACTGCGTGTCCTGGCTCCGGAGCATTCAGCAGGTCCTGCAGGTAAGGGTTCTTACCCCCACCCCCGCCGCCGTGCCTCAGGCCCCGGCCAGATGTCCCCGGCCCGGACATCCCCGGCCCGCACGTCCCCAGCCTGCACATGTCCCCGGCCCACACACTGAGTCCTGAGGACCAAGGCAGCGTCCTGACGGCAGGGAGCAGAGCATGAGCTTCAGATACAAACACGGCTGTAAACTTTTTGATATTTTTAGCCAGGGGGTAATTTTAATTCATTTGACCTTTCACACACTGCGACCACTGACTGATTTCACTTCCTCGCTAGCTTTTCTAACATGTGACATCTCAAAAGTTCCTTTTTCCAGGTATTTTATTTTTATTTACTTATTTATATTTTTCCTGCTCCCTTCTTTCTCTTAACATTTTCAGTTTTTTCCGCTCTTACATGCTTTGATGATCTCCCCACATAGCTCTTCAGCAAGCACATTCTGAGCACAGGGGGCTGAGTGCTAAGCTCGGGGGGGCAGTGGTCAGGTGACCCCGGACCCCACTGGCATGGGCTTGGAGTCCAGCGCGGGGGGTTGGAGAACTTCCCGTGAAGTAAATGTTTGCAGATGGTAAATTAAAAAATGATTTTATTCAGAAAATACACCACGTAAACCATCTCCTAATGGTTCATTCCAGTTAGCTGGTATTCACATTTTCAGAGGATGTATTTGGAGCAGATCAATAAATCGTACTTATGGGACGCCTGGGTGGCTCAGTTAAGCATCTCCCTTCGGCTCAGGTTATGATCCCCGGTTCTGGGATCGGGCCCCGCATCGGGCTCCCTGCTCTGCAGGAAGCCTGCTTCTCCCTCTTCTGCTCCCCCTGTTTGTGTTCCCTCTCTCGCTGTGTCTCTCTCTGTCAAATAAATAAAGTCTTTGAAAAAAAAATAAGTAGTACTTATGTGGCAGCCCATCATAGAAATCCATAAATCCACGTATCAGAGTGAAAGATGTTTTTGTTCCATAGTTACTCTGTTGTAGTTCTTCTGTTTTAATTTTCATCTGCAATCAGAGCATTTTAATCCGCCATATTGTTCTTGCAATTTATTGTCCTTTATTTACATAGTTGTATGTGACAATGTTCAGATCTCATTCAGTTTTAATCAGCCTCTGAATTTTTAAACTCCTGAAAACTTTCTCGGATAGTTATACAAAGTAGGTGCTAAACACCTCAACGTACTCAGAATTCTGTCTATTCAGAAATTCTCTAAATCATGCTGCTGACCGTGAGACTCCTTTTATTTCCCCCTCAATAGAATAATCTGAAGGTAGTTTTCCTTCCTATCTTTGGCCATACTTTTCTTTAGGAAGATTTTTATTGTTAAAATGCAGCTGATGACACAATGTTACATTAGTTTCGGGCTTGAGGGTTGTCTGTGTTCTGCTCTGGGATACAGATAGGAAATGTTTTAGGCTTTGCAAACCACATATGGTTTCAGTTGCATTTTGTTTCTTTTTTTCTTTTCTAGCCCTTTAAAAATGTAAAACTCATTTCTAGTTTGTGGGCCATACAAAAACAGGCACCCACAGACTATACCTACCGTTTGCCGATCCCTTTTCTAGCAGAAGAGACTTCACTAGAATAAGCGTACAGTGGGGCACCTGGCCGGCTCCGTCAGTAGCGTGTGCGACTCTCAACCTCAGGTGGTGATTTTCCAGCCCAGGTGGGGCTTGGAGCCTACTTACAAACAGAAGGCGCAGCGGGCTGACGTGATGCACCGCAGCAGGTGCCATGGGGGTAAAGAGCACGGTTCCCTGAGAACACGTACCAGAGAATCTGACCCAGACTGGACCGCTGTGGGCCACTGGTCCAGGGAGGGCTTTTCCGAGCCAGTTGGGCTAAGAACGTTTTGTCAGTGTGCAAAAGCCCTGAGAAAAGAGGAGTTTGGCCCATTTGGAGAATTATAAGCAAGCTGGTGTGGCTGAGTGGGGTTGATGAAATGTGACTGGAGTAGGGGGGAGAGAGGTAGGGACCAAGCCACGCGTGGTGGCCTGGGCATGTTAGGGAGCTTGGTTTTTATTCTTAGAACACTGGGAATTCATGAGAGGTGGGTCTTTTTTTTTTTTTTTTAAGATTTTATTTATTTCATTAGCGAGAGAGAGAGAAAGCACAAGAAGGTGGAGGGGCAGGCAGAGGGAGAGGGAGAAGCAGGCTTCCTGCAGAGCAGGGAGCCCGATTTGGGACTCGATCCCAGGACCCTGGGATCATGACCTGAGCCGGAGGCAGACGCTTTGCTGACTGAGCCACCCAGGCGTCCTTCGTGGAACGTTTTGAGTAGGGGTGAGGAGGAGATGGTGGTGGTGGTGGTGGTGATGTGATCAGATTTTCCTTTGGAAGTACTACCTTGGCAGCTGTGTGGAGAAAGGACTAGAAAGCCAGATTGAAAGCAGAAAGACCACGTAGAAGGGAAACGTCGTGGTAGCTTGGGCTGGAGAGGAGGCTGCAGAAATGATGAGAAGTTGATTGAGTTCAGGAGAGGGTTAGAGGCAAAGTGGACAGGTCCCGATGGTGGGACAGGCATGTCCAGGATGACTCCCGGATTGCAGAGCACCCGGACGGCCGGGCCCAGAGGGGAGGGGTGGCAGCGCGGGTACTTCCGGGGACCGGATGTGCCCCTTACACGGCCCGGTAGGGGAGAGGGAGCCGAGCGAGGACGCGCTGCAGACAGCAGGCCTGTGGGGTGGGTGCCTGGAGGGAAGAGGCAGGACCCGTCTGTTTCTGCCGCTTGGAGGTGGAGCGAGGTGAGGACGGAATCCTGTTTCAGATTTAGCAGCTCAAGTGTTAGGAGACGGGCGGAGCTCGGACACTGAGGTCGGGAGAACGAAGGGAAGTGGAGAAGCCAGACGGTCCAGATGTTGGGTCTCACAGGGGGCGGGGCTCGGGAAGGGTGTTGACGGAGGGGCGCTTGCCTGTGGAGGACTCTGGGGGGCTAGCTGGACGCGCGGGACAGGCGCTGGGTGGCAGGATGGAGGGTGGCGGTGAGAACGAAGGGGCGGTGGCAGGCTTGGCCGGGGACTCCTGCCCGCCCCTGGGCTTCTGTGAAGGTGGCAGTGGTGGGAGAAGGTGTGAGTGGAGGGGCCCGTTAACTGGACCGAAATGCAGGGGGCATACTGGGCAGTGTTGGAGGGCCCTCTGTGCTTATTTTTTTTAATTTATTTTTTATTTTTCTAATTTAAATTCAATCAGTCAGCATATAGTACGTCGTGAGTTCCAGTTGTAGCGTTCAGCAGTTCATCGGTTGCCCGTGACACCCAGTGCTGATCACATCACGTGCCCTCCTCCGTGCCCGGCACCCGGTGGGCCCCTCCCCCTCCCGTTCTTACTTTCTCGCGAAGTGTTCCTACTCATGTTGTACCTGCGGCCTCGGGTCTAGTGGGAGACAGGTGCCGACTCTGTTTCCTGTAGTACGTGTTAATTTTCCAGGGAAGTCCTAAATCCAAACTGTTTCTTTCTCCACGAGTCCAGAGTAGGTGTGAGCCAGGCCGAAGCCCACTTGCCGACACGGGGCGGTTTTGTTGTGGCTGAGGCTGTTCTCACGGTGAGAAGTGCTCTCCTCCATTCCCAGCAGGGAAGTGCAGTCGGGGGAACCCGAAACTCGACATCTTCCCGTTAGTCAGATCTGTAAGGCCTGGCTTTGTTTCTTTCCTCTCTGAACACATTTCAAGGCCCCAGATACTCGTGATACTAAGTGCAGACACACATCCTTTCTGTAGACAAACACGCCACGTTGGGGTTCCCCGTGTCCCTAGTGGATTTGTGGGCAGTGCTGACGTAACTGTGGGGTTTCTCGGAAGCCCTGTGCTGTGCCGCCTCCTGTGCCGCTGCTGCTTGGCGACTGCGAAGGCGAGCTCGGGAGCACGGGTGTCGTTTCCTTTAGTCCCAGGACCCACCCCCCACAATGGAGCTGGCTGTGGCTGTCCTGAGGGACCTGCTCCGCTATGCCGCCCAGCTGCCCACGCTCTTCCGGGACATCTCCATGAACCACCTCCCCGGCCTCCTCACCTCCCTGCTGGGCCTCAGGCCGGAGGTGAGATCCCCCCCGGCCCCCCAGCCTGCACAGTGCTCACCCTCCAGCGGGTTAGAGTGCAGGGAGCAGGGGGGGAGCGGGGAGGGGAGGGAGGAGAGGGAGAGCCAAGGACGGTGTGGGAGGGGTGGTGGCGTGCGCCTGGGGGGGGGCTGGGGGCTCTGGGCTCTGCGCCTTGGCCTGACTTTCTGTTTTGCCCACAGTGTGAGCTCTCCGCGCTGGAGGGAATGAAGGCGTGCATGACCTACTTTCCTCGGGCCTGTGGGTCTCTCAGAGTAAGTGCTCACCCACAGTCCTCTTCAGCTGCGTGATTCTCGCTTGCTGTCTTAGCTCAGGCCCGTGGTGGAGGATTCTGAGCCCCCGTCCGCTGAGCGCATGGCTACCTGACTCCGCCACCTCCTAGCACCTCATGCTCATAGATAAACCAGCCTGCCTGAGATTGCTAACGATTGGGACCGCTTCCCCTTTCCGCCCTGCCCGTCTTGCTCCCCCCCTCTTTCACTTGGTGCCTACAGCTCTGCCCGCTTCCTCCAGAAAGCCTCCTGACTGACTTCTTCCCTGTATTGACCGTATTCCCGACTAAACTCTCTCTGTCATGACCCGTACAAGGGTTTTTTTTTTTTTTTTTTAAGATTTTATTTATTTATTTGACAGAGAGAGAGAGCACAAGTAGGCAGAGTGGCAGGGAGAGGGAGAGGGAGAAGCAGGCTCTCCGCTGAGCAGGGAGCCTGATGCGGGGCTCGATCCCAGGACCCTGGGATCATGACCTGAGCCAAAGGCAGCCGCTTAGCCAACTGAGCCACCCAGGCGCCCCTGTTTTGTTTTTTTTAACGAAAGTTTTACTGAGTTCCGTAAACTCTGCCTTTCTTCTAAAATGCTCTGTAAATGAACTGCTCGGATGATGCAGCCTGGGTCTTTGTGCCCGAGCCCGCTCTGGTCAGAAGAGGGAGGTGTTACTGCAGGGCTCCGTTGGTTCAGCTCCGAGTGGGTGTATTTGTGTCTGCCTGCACCCCCCGGCCCCCCCCGCCTGTGAGGCGCAGGGAGAAACTGTCACTGCCCGGTCAGGATTCGAATAGTCAGGGACTCTGGGATGCCCGGTGTTTCCTGCGCTGGTGCCTCTTCATTGTCCCTTTGAGTGTGGAGAATTCATCCCTCCGTAAGTTTCTGAGGTTTGGGCCAGAAATTTGAGGGCCCTTTCCAGAGCTAACAGGACTTCATATGTTGTTAGAGGGCGTGTGTGCCTTTATTTTGCTAAGAATAGAGTGTCATCTGGAGAACGGCCCTCTGCCGAGGGTTTTGGTTTTGTCGGCTGCCAGCATGTCGGGCAGGAATCTGCAAGGCTCCCGGGGCGGTTTGTCCTTGGAGGACCTTGCAGCCGGGACTGAGGAAACGGATACGTGCCATTGGAGTATCTGTCTGTCCTCTGGCTCGTCCCTGGAAGCTCCCAGGGTAGCGGTGGTCTCCCGGTCCAGGATGCTGCCCCTTCGGTGTTCCGAGGCTGTTCAGTCAGTCCCGCAGGGGCGCTCTCTCTCCTCGCCAAGGTGACGAGTGGTTCTGTGGACTGGGACACGTGGGACATGCCCTGGGGCTGTGTGCGCACGCGTGCTCGCTCTTCAGGTGGGATGTCCCACGTGAGCCCTTGCTTTGGTGCGTCCTGTGGGTCGCCAGGGCCGTGTCCGCGAGCCGAGCTTTATCGTGCTCATGGACGCAGCCTTCCGTGGGCCTCAGCCTGCTCTGCGCCACAGTCTGGGGGCGGGGGGACCGTGAGCAGGAGTGGGCCGAGAGTGCAGGGCTGCTCTAGTCGGGCCTCCGGCTGCTCTCTAGGAAATGTCGTCCTTGGGGAAGCAGGGGAAGCAGGAGACGTAGGGGCGGTTGCTGTTCTTGGTTTGCAGTGTTCCGGACCCTCCCGCGTGGCGGGGAGAGTGCCCTCCAGGTCCCACGGGGAGCGGTTCTAGGCCTTCTGCCCCGGGATCAGCGAGAACAGCACTTGCCCGATGGTCACTGAGTCCTGAAGTGTGATGTGGGAAACCCCACGCGGTTCCCTCCCCGGGGCAGGTGGGGGGAGGCTGGGAAGCTTGGCCTCCGTCCCGGAAGTTGCTCCATGTGCTTGATGCCTCAGCCGACGGCCCCTCCGAAAGTTCACTCTTGTGCACGAGGCGCCCCGCCCCCCCGGGGTCCGTCCTCCCCAGCCTGGGGTCCACGGCCTCTGTGTGCTCCTGGCGGTGGTCTCCCCTCGGGTCCGACTGTGTGGATGCCCTTCCTCTCAGCCCTGCCGGGCCTGTCTCCCGCCGCTCTTGCGCCCCTGGCTCGCTTCTCGGGTCCTCCTGACGCCTTCTCACTGCCCCCTGGAGCTGGGGTCCTGTCTCACCCCTTCTCTGTGTCCACTTCGGCCTTCTCGCCCTTGTTCGGGCCGCGGACTCCTTCCCGGAGATGCTTTTAAATTCCTAAAGCTCACGGAATCGCAAGGGAAGCGGATTCTGCTAGAAACGTGTATTTTAAACGATTGTGATAGAGCAGCGTGGGTTTCGTTGTTAACATGTCAGATGACGAGATCGTAGACCTTTCAAGTCGGTGACGCCCGTGACTGATGTTTCAAGACGCCCGCTGATCGTAATGAGTGAAAATGCGTGGTTTCTCCTGGCAGCAGGCGGAGATGCTGCCGCTGCTGCCGGGGTTCCCTGTCCACGTTTGTAGTTAACTTTGAGGGTAGTGAGACGGTAAAAATCTTTCTTCCCAGCCCCGTTCGCGGGCCCCTCTGACTCTAGCCCCAGGTAGCTGTGGCTCTCCCGCGGCCGGCTGGGCGGGTGTTCGCCCGTGGACAGGCTGCTCTGACCTGTGCTGACCTGGCCCTGCCCTCGAACCCCTGCCCGGGGCCTCGTTTCCTGGCTCGGACCTTTGTCTCGTTGCAGCTGCAGAGAGGGGGCTGTCATTTTGCAGACACCTCCCCCCCCGCCCCCCCCGCTGTGTCTTTGGGGCCGAACAGGGCAGTGAGCTGCTGACGGGGGCTGACGTCCAGCGGGTCTGCTGCCCGGCCCGGCGCCGTGCCTCCCGTGTCTGCAGCGGGGAGGAAGCCTGGGCTTGCGTTCTGCTCCTGGCAGTGGACGGGGGTGTGCGTCTCTGGCCCTCGGAGCCGACTTACCAGCCTCTTCCTGTTTCCTCTGACCCAGGGCAAGCTGGCCTCGTTTTTCCTGTCCCGGGTGGATGCCCTGAGCCCTCAGCTCCAGCAGGTAAAGGGAAGAGAGGGAGGTGGTAAGCCTGGGGATCTGAGCTGGAGCTTCTGTTGGCTTTCGGCTTTTCCCTCTGTTCCCGCGGTTGGACTGCGTTCCCTCTTCCCTCCCGTTTCTTGCACACGATCCACGTGGCATGACTTCTGCCTCCAGCTCCCGTCTGTGGTTTGCTGCCTCGATGTCCTTTCTGTTCCCTTCTGAGCTCTTTCTTGGCGCGTGGGGGTCAGGGTGCTCTGGGGCTGGGCCGGAGTCCCGTCTGACCGCTCCTGACCTTCCTCCCGACCTTCCTCCCGCAGCTGGCCTGTGAGTGTTACTCCCGGCTGCCGTCGCTGGGGGCCGGCTTCTCCCAGGGCCTGAAGCACACGGAGAGCTGGCAGCAGGAGCTGCGTAGCCTGCTGGCCTCCCTGCACAGCCTGCTGGGGGCCCTGTACGAGGGCGCAGAGACGGGTAGGGGCGGGTGGCATGGGAAGTAGGGGCGGGTGGCGCGGTGGGGAGGGTGCTGGCCTCCCTGCACAGCCTGCTGGGGGCCCTGTGCAAGAGCGCAGAGACCGGTAGGGGCGGGCGGTGCGGGGGGCGGTGGGGAGGGTGCTGGCCTCCCTGCACAGCCTGCTGGGGGCCCTGTGCAAGGGCGCAGAGACCGGTAGGGGTGGGCGGCGTGGGAGGTAGGGGCGGGTGGTGCGGTGGGGAGGGTGCTGGCCTCCCTGCACAGCCTGCTGGGGGCCCTGTGCGAGGGCGCAGAGACCGGTAGGGGCGGGCGGCGGGGGGCCCCGGAGGCCGGGAAGCGGATGTCCCAGCAGCCTGTGTCCCCTTCCACAAGGGAGGAGGAAGGGGGCGGACCAAGGGCCTGGGAGCGCGACGTCCTTGTGTTTCCGTGCAGCCCCTGTGCAGTATGAGGGCCCCGGGGTGGAGGTGCTGCTCACGCCCTCGGAGGATGGGGACGCGCACGCCCTCCTCCGGCTCCGACAGCGCTTCTGCGGACTGGCCCGCTGCCTGGGGCTCATGCTCAGGTGTGCGAGCGAGTGCCGGAGGGCACAGGGGGTGGGGGCTGAGCTTGGGGTGTCGTCCTCATCGGGAAGGGGGTGGGGGCGTGGAGTCACGTTGAGGAGCCTGCGCTGAGGATCTCTCTGCTCTCCCCCTCTTTAGCTCTGAGTTTGGGGCTCCCGTGTCCGTCCCTGTGCAGGAAATCCTGGACGTCATCTGCCGGACACTCAGCATCAGCGCGAAGAACATCGTGAGTGGAGCTGGGGCTCTGTTTGCAGCCTGTCCTCGGGCCCCGGGCGGAGAGAGAGCAGCGTGGGGGGGCGGCGCTCCCACAGCAGTGTCCTCCCCGAGGCTGTCCAGCCAGCCCCGTCCCTTGTCCGGATGCTGCCACTCCCTGTGCTTGTCCCCACACACGTCCCCGTCGGAGCACACTCGCTCACGGTTTTCGGAACCCGTCCAGCAGATGCTTCCCCCCTGGGGAGGGTGAACCTGGGGCTCCGCTGGGTCACCGTTGAGAGGTTCAGCCATGCTCCCCGTCATCCTCTCGTGGGTCTGTTTTAGAGGACGGGGTCTGTCTTGTTGGGCCAGCTGGGCATGGAGGCAGGTTCCTTCCTGCGCGTGCACGGGTCTCTCTCCATATTTCCCTTTCTCCCCCCGTTGCCCCCTTACTCTTGCCGTATCTTCCTGCAGAGCTTGCTCGGAGATGGTCCCCTGCGGCTGTTACTTCTCCCCTCCATCCACCTGGACGCCTTGGACCTGCTCTCCGCACTCATTCTCGCGTGAGCGGGAGGGGACAGGGTGTAGTGAAGGGACGAGGACGTGCCGGGAACGGAGGTCACGGTTCTGTCTTCACCCCCAGGTGTGGAGGCCGCCTCTTGCGCTTCGGGGGCCTGATCAGCCGCCTGCTTCCCCAGGTCCTCAATGCCTGGAACCTGGGTAGGGATACCCTCTCTCCAGGCCAGGAGAGGCCTTACAGGTGACCGTGGAGGGGAGGGCACAGACTCGGAGAGGGTGGGTGGGGGCTCCGAGGAGGACCCCGCCTGCGGCGCCCCCCTCACGGGCTGCTCTCTGCCCCCCCCCCCCCCCGCCCTCCGCAGCACCGTGCGGACCAAGGTGTACGCAGTGCTGGAGCTGTGGGTGCAGGTGTGTGGGGCCTCGGCAGGAGTGCTGCAGGGGGGCGCCTCGGGGGAGGCCCTGCTCTCCCACCTGCTCAGTGACATCTCCCCGCCGGCGGATGCTCTGAAGGTGAGTGAGGCGCCCGCCCCTCGCCCGGGACTCTGGTCCGGCGCCCCTGCTGGAGCGAGCCCGCTCACCAGACGCCGTCTCCCGCTGCCGTCTGCCTCTGCGCCGGCCGGGCCCGATGACCCAGGTCTCCCCCGTCCCCTAGCTGCGCAGCCCGCGGGGGAGCCCGGACGGGGGACTGCAGACCGGGAAGCCCAGCGCTCCCAAGAAGCTGAAGCTGGATCTAGGGGAGGCCATGGCCCCGCCCAGCCACCGGAAGGGGGACAGCAACGCCAACAGTGACGTGTGCGCGGCCGCTTTGAGAGGTGGGAGAGGTGGGAGGGGCCGCACCCTGCAGCCCGGGCGGCGGGGGGCGGGGGGCGGGGGGCACGGATAGGGGCCCTGCCCCAGAAGGGGCTCCGGGCCCTCCCGCTGGCCCTGCAGGCTCCCGTTCAGCTCCGCTTGCCGCTCTGCGTGCCGTGTTCCCTTGCGGCTCCCGCGGGGGCCTGTGCCGTGGGGCTTCCGCTCTCCCCACGAGGCGCTCGGGGCCTCCCCCTCGGGGCTAGTGTGCTTCCGTTCCCGGATCCGTGGGCGCACGTGGGCAGCGCGTCTCCTCACTCGTCGCATGTGGCCGGGCTGCAGGAGCCTGGAGGTGGCGGCGGACGCCCCACGTGGGCTGCGTGCGCCCTGCTGCCGCCAGCACGCCCCTGAGACGCCGCCTCCTCCCGCAGGCCTCAGCCGGACCGTTCTCATGTGCGGGCCCCTCATCAAGGAGGAGACTCACAGGGTCAGTGGAGCTCTGCATGGGGGCGTTCAGCCCCCCGGGGGGGGGGGCGGCCCTGCAGGAGGAGTGGGGGTCCTTGCGCCGCCTCCAAGTGTGCCCCTGTTCTTTGCAGAGACTGCACGACTTGGTCGTGCCCCTGGTCATGGGGCTGCAGCGGGGCGAGACCCTGGGCAGCTCCCCATACACCAGCTCCCGTTGCCGCCAGGAGCTGTACCGCCTGCTGCTGGCCCTGCTGCTGGCGCCGTCCCCCCGCTGCCCGCCCCCGCTCGCCTGCGCCCTGCAGGCCTTCTCTCTCGGCCAGCGCGAGGACAGCCTCGAGGTAGCTGCCCCCTGGGGCTGCGCCCGCCTCTCGGGTGAAGCCTGGGCCACCCCCCCCGACCGGCGCCTGAGGCTCATGGCCACCCTTCGCCTCTTCCCCAGGTGTCGTCCTTCTGCTCGGAAGCGCTGGTGGTCTGTGCTGCCCTGACCCACCCCCGGGTTCCTCCCCTGCAGCCCACCGGCCCCCCCTGCCCCACGCCTGCCCCCGTCCCCCCTCCTGAGGCCCCGTCTCCGTTCAGGGCCCCCCCCTTCCATCCCCCGGCGGGCCCCCCGCCCCCGGCACGGCCCGGACCTCCAGCCGCAGCCAACCACTTAGGCTTGTCTGTCCCGGGCCTGGTGTCCGTACCCCCCCGGCTCCTTCCCGGCCCTGAGAACCACCGGGCCAGCTCAAATGAGGACCCCGTGCTTGCCCCGGGCGGCAGCCCTCCGCCCGCTCTGCCCCCGGATGAGACTTTTGGGGGCCGAGTGCCCAGGCCGGCCTTCGTCCACTACGATAAGGAGGAGGCGTCCGACGTGGAGATTTCCTTGGAAAGCGACTCAGACGACAGCGTGGTGATCGTGCCCGAGGGGCTGCCGCCCCTGCCGCCCGCGCCCCCCTCGGGCGCCACACCCCCGCCTGCGGCTCCAGCCGGGCCCCCCACGGCCTCCCCTCCTGTGCCCGCCAAGGAGGAGCCTGAGGAGCTTCCCGCGGCCCCGGGGCCTCTCCCGCCCCCGCCGCCCCCGCCCGCGCCGGGCCCGGTGGCGCTGCCGCCCCCCCAGCTGGTCGCTGAAGGGACTCCTGGCGGCGGGGGGCCCCCCTCCCTGGAGGAAGACCTGACGGTCATTAACATCAACAGCAGCGACGAGGAGGAGGAGGAAGAGGAGGAGGAGGAGGAGGAGGAGGAGGACTTTGAGGAGGAGGAAGAGGAGGAGGAGGAGTACTTTGAGGAAGAGGAGGAGGAGTTCGAGGAGGAGTTCGAGGAGGACGAAGGGGAGTTGGAGGAGGACGACGACGACGACGAGGACGACGACGAGCTGGAGGAGCTGGACGAGGCGGGGTTCGGCCCCGCGGGGGCGCCGGCGGGAGACGGGGGTCCTGCGCCGCCAAGCCCCGCCCCGGCTCCGCCCCCTGCCCAGTCCCCGGCCACGCGGCCGGCTCCCGAGGCGGAGCCCGGGCTGCTGCTGGAGGTGGAGGAGCCCGCGGCGGAGGACGACGACGAAGACGAAGACGACGACGACGACGACGAGGAAGAGGAGGAGGAGGAAGAGGAGGAGGGAGGGGAGGGGCCGGGGGCCCGGGCCGCCCCCACGCTGGCCCCCGAGGTGCTGCCCTCGCAGGGGGAGGGGCCGCAGGCCACAGGGAGCCCCCCGGCCGGGCCGCCCCCGCAGGAGCTTGTGGAGGAGGAGCCCTCGGCTCCCCCGACGCTGCTGGAGGAGGGGACTGACAGTGGGGGTGACAGGGTGCCGCCGCCCCCCCCAGAGACACCCGCCGCGGAGGAGGCGGCGGCCGAGGCGGAGGCCGAGACGGCAGCCCTCCAGGAGAAGGTGGGCAGGCGGGGGGCGCAGCCCTGGGCGGGGTGTGGGGGCCCGGCCGCCGTGCCCGTGCTTAGCCTGTCCCGTGTGTGTGTGTGTGTGTGTGTGTGTGTGTGTGTGACTTTCCACTTTTCTGTCTTGGCCCCCGAAGGAGCAGGATGACACGGCCGCCATGCTGGCTGACTTCATCGACTGTCCGCCTGACGACGAGAAGCCACCGCCGGCCCCGGAGCCTGATTCCTAGTGTTCTCCTGCACGCGCCCACCCTCCTGCTTTCCAATAAACTTACGTTCTGGGGTATTACCTGCCGCTCCCGCCTTTTGCAGCACCGCGTCCCCGGCCGGGCTCTCCGAGGCACCCGGAGCGCTCCCCACGTGCTGTCCGTGCTGCCCCCCTGACCCCCCCGGGTTCCTCCCCGGCAGCCGGCGGAGCCGCGCGTTCCTACTGTTCGCCCTCTGCGCTCACGGTGTGCCGCGCGCCGGGCTTCCCGGCGGTTACGACCACGAGCGAGGACGCGGCGCTGCTTGTCCGGGTCCGGCCGTGGGAACGTCGTGGGGGGGTCAGAGCACGGCGTGTCCTTGCGAGTGAAGGTGGACGGACACGGACGGACACACACACCCGACACAGACGCCAGACACACACACGCGCGCGCGCGCGTCTCCCTTGGCCCGAAAGCGCAGGCTGGTCGGGATGGGATGTAGAGAAACAGGAAAGGTACGGAGGAGTCTGGTCCTTGACTCCGTGAAGTGTGAGCCCAGTTCCGGGGCTGGGCCTTCCAGTGACCGTATCCTCCCCCCGCGGGAGTTTGAGAAGCTCGCCCGCGCTCTCCTCCGCGTGGAGCCGTGGCCGCGTCGCAGCCAGTGTCTGGTCCGCGTAAACACATTGACCCTCGGCCTCGTTGGGCCCCTCATGTGCGCGGGAGCGGGTAGGACATGTGTCTGCTGCGGCGTGAACATGAGTCGAATGCCTTGGAACTGCAGAAAGGGGAGCGTGTATCCTGATGGGCTCTTTCAATGACATTGGAGCCAATTTTTGGCAACTTACTTGGGTTTAAACAAATTTCCCCCCAACTTGGTATCTTGAGAAACCCCACCCCTGCAGAAAGGCTGGAAGAGGAGTGTGATCTTCACGTAGACTCACCGGTTGCAACTCACCGTTGCAAACACCCGTGTTGGTGTTTATGTCCATGTGGCTGTGTCATGTACAGACATGTGCGTTTGTATGCGCACGTGCATCTCTGCCCATAACCAGCCCATTCACATCTGTACATGTTTCTTTTTTTCGTGGGATCGTGTAAAAGTCAGTTGCAGACCTGCCCTTTTCCTCCGAATTCTTCAATATTATCTGCTGAAATTAAGGACTTTTTTTTATGTAATCACGATACCACCATCAAACCTGAGAAAATAATTCAGTAATAGTGCATATAGACTGTGATACTCAAATTTCCCTGCTTCTTAAAATGTCTTCTGTTTACTTTTATTTTGATTCAAGTTCAAGAGGTGTTTCAGGGGCCGAGGGCCACTTGCAGCTTAAGGACTGCTGGAGGGACAGAAGTGTAGGAATCCTGCAATAGTGATTTTTCAAAAATGGGAAGCACCTGAATTCTGGAAAGTGTACGTGGATAAAGTTGACATTGACCCCGAGGAAGAGGCTGGGACAGAAATTTTGTGATCAAATTGTGTTTTGCGTAGATAATACGTTCAGGTTGTTCAGCACTCAGCAGGAACCGGAGGTTGGCTGCAAGACCTCGTCCCTGCTTGTCCGCCATAGTCCCCCAGGATGCAGCCTGGAGCGGCCCGTGGGGGCGGATGTGTGCCTGCCGGGACGGGGATGTGCATGCAGGGACAGGTGTGAGCCTGGGGCTGGGGGTGTGCGCGTGGGGCTGGGTGTGAGCACGAGGCAGGTGTGCACTCTGGGATGGATGCGTGTGCGGCGACGGGTGTGCACGCGGGACAGGTGCGCGCTCTGGGACAGGTGCATGGGTGGGTCCTGGTGTGAGCGCTCTGGGGCGGGTGTGCGTGTGGGGATGGGTGCACGCGCGGGGCCCGGTGCATGCGCGCACACGCAGACATGTACGGCCTTCCCTTCAGCATTCCCACAGAGGGTGCTTCGTTATCACTGAGGATAAAGCCGTGTCACTGAGTCACGGGATCTGCTCATTTATCAGACAATGAGTACAGGTCGCGTAGTAGGCACTGCTTTCTCCTTAATACGTATTTTGGAAGTACTTCCAGATCACAGGAGATTCTGGAGAGAGCACAGAGGGTGCGGGGGCGGCCATAATTTCCCCTCGCGGTTGTCTGCATGGTTAGGGCACAACGTCGAGACTAGGGTTTGATGTTAGTATAGCGATAGGGCAGTTTCATCAGCTGGACATAAGGCAGTGCACAGAACGCAGAAATCCACCCCCCCCGTGGGGCTGAGGGTCCAGGTGCTGCGTGGGGTGCAGACGGGCACAGTGTGTGAGTGGGCGCCGAGTGCACGGCGGGGACGGCGGGGGAAGAGGGGTGTGGGGGCATGTTTTCAACATTTGATGAGAATTTTCAGACACTGAAAGTGGAAGGATTTCCACAGAGAGCGCCCACGTGCCCACCGTGTTACTGCACCTGTGCGTGCGTGTGCATGCGTGCTTGGGTGCGCGTTTGTGTGTGCGTGCGCGTGTGTGCATGAGTTTAGGATGGTCAAGGGGCGTCTCGCCGCGTCCGTGTATGTGTACGTGCGTGCATGCATCTGCGTGAGTGCGTGCATCCTATGCGTGTGTACGTGCATGCGTGCATGCATCCTATGCGTGTGTGCATGTGTGCTCGAGTGCACGTGTGTGCGTGTGTGCGTGTTTAAGATGGTCAAAGGGCGTCTCACTGTGTCCATGCATGTGTACGTGCATGCGTGCATCTACGTGTGTGTGCATCCTATGCGTGTGTACGTGCATGCGTGCATCTACGTGTGTGTGCATCCTATGCGTGTGTACGTGCATGTGTGCGTGCGTGCATCCTGTGCGTGTGCGTGTGCATGTATGCTTGAGTGCATGTGTGTGTGTTTTAGGATGGTCAAGGGGGTCTCGCCACGTCTGTGCGTGTGTGCGTGCATCTTATGAGTGTGTGCGTGCATGCGTGCATCTGTGGGTGTGTACGTGCGTTTTAGGATGGTCAAGGGGGGGTCTCACCACGTCCGTGCGTGTGTGCATGCATGCGCTCGTGTGTTTTAGGTAGGACAGTCCAGGGGATCTCCCGGAGAAGGATGGTGAATAAAGGGCCGGAAGGAGATGACGGGGAGGGCAGTGCGGGGCTGTGGGGGGTGGTCTCCTCGCCACCGGCACAGCAGGAAAGACGTCCTGAATCGGGACCGTTCTTGGGGTCGGGAGCCCAACCCCCCTTCCGTCGGGACCGTTTCCTTGGGGAAAGCAGGGAGGCTGGTGGGGCGGAGAAAGGGGATGCGGTCAGACAGGTGGAAGGTTGGGAGCAGGAGGGGGCGGTGAGTGGGGAGGGCGGGGAGGCTTTGGGCAGACCACGTACTAGGAGTTTTTTTGCTTGTTTTGTTTTGTTTTGCTTTTTTCAGATTTTTAATTTAAATTCAATGTAGTTAACGTACAGTGTAATATTAGTTTCAGGGGTAGAGGTCAGTGATTCATCAGTTGCATGTAACACCCAGTGCTCATTACATCACATGCCCTCCTTCCTGCCCGTCCCCCAGTTACCCCCTCCCCCACCCCCTCCCCTCCAGCAACCCTGTTTGTTTCCTAGAGTTAAGAGCCTCTTATGATTTGTCTCCCTCTCTGCTTTTGTCTGATTTTATTTTTCCCTCCCGTCTCCTATGATCCTCTGTTTTGTTTCCTAAATTCCACATATGAGTGAGATTATATGGTAATTATCTTTCTCTGATTGACTTAATTCACTTAGCAAAATACCTTCTAGTTCCATCCATGTTGTTGCAAATGGTAAAATTTCATTCTTTTTAATTGCTAGCTAATAATTCCATTGTATATGTACATCACGTCTTCTTTCTCCATTCATCTGTCGATGGACATCTGGGCTCTTTTCCATAGTTTGGCTATTGTGGACATTGCTGCTATAAACACTGGGGTGCAGGTGCCCCTTCGAATCACTATTGTGTCCGTCAGATAAATACCCAGTAGTGCAATTGCTGGGTCATAGGGTAGCTCTGTTTTTAACTTTTTGAGGAACCTCCATACTGTTTTCCAGAGTGGCGGCACCAGCTTGCATTCCCACCAACAGAGTAAGAGTGTTCCCCTTTCAGTAGTTCTGTTTGACCAGCACCTGACCACTCTTGGAAAATGGATGCAAAGGAGGGTCAGGCTGGGAGCAGGGATGCCAGTCTCTGGGGGTGGACGGTGTAGAAGTGGTTGAAATCCAGTTAATGTTTGAGGATCGCGTCAACGAATTTGAAGGTGGTTCTACGTCGGTTCATACAGAGTCTCCTTGTTCTGCCTTGAGTGGCATGTACCATCCTTTACTTAAGCATCCTGGTGGCCGAATCTCTAGGTCAGTTCCCTGGCTTTTGCTGTCACAAAACAAACAAGCATGTACATGTGTACAGATGACATGTGCACACGAGTACTGATGTGTGGGATCAACTGCTAGAAACAGAATCGCCGAGTCCTTTCTGGGGTGTGTCCCCATGTTTGCCCCAGACCTTCCCTGGCATGCGCAGCTGTAAGCAACTGGGGGCTTGGGTCTCGAGCTGTGTATTACGTTTTCACCGGACACCAAGCGGGAAGGCTTTTGTGTGCTTGCCTGGGAGCGGTTCATAGGGATCAGGAGCTGGTTGTCTTTGGGATCAGGAGCTGGTTGTCTGGGATCAGCAGCTGGTCATCTTTGGGATCAGGAGCTGGTTGTCTGGGATCAGGAGCTGATTGTCTTTGGGCTCCTCTGTGGCAGAGGTAGAGGCTGTGGTTAGCAGACAGGGAGTTCAGAGATGGGTGCGGGGTACGAGGCAGAAGAGCCTGGCTCCTGCAGGTGACTTCGGTCCAGGGCTGGAGTGGGGGCAGGTGTGGATGGAAGGAGGAGTCATGGGGATGCTGGCTTGGGTTCGTGGAGCCCCGGGAAGCTGTGTCAGGAGTTTGGGCTCTGTTCTTCCAGCCTTTAATGTTGAACTTCGTGGAGAGAAGTGACTAGCTCTGTTTTCCGTCGGCTTTGGCAGGAGGAGAGCTGGAGCCCAGGAGATGGTTCAGGGAATGTGCAGTGGTCTTGGTGGAGGATGGTGAAGGTGACTGGGCAGTAGCCATCG